TAATATGAAAAAATGACATACGCGTGTGAACTTTGATTACCATTCATCGGAAGTGGATTACCAAATACAGGAAACGACCACCAATCGAGTGGTAATAATGGTCGTTGGTAGATTTTCAATAGTAAGGGGACCAATTTCACACAACTGGAGTTAAAACAGGTCGATACAGGTTGATACAGGTTTTCCGCACGGATCGATACGCCGAAAGGATCGCTTCGACATTTTACACGTTTTCTATGATTTTACTTGAATAAGCATTATGATGGATAAACTATTGAAAAGTCTTAATTTATACTGCGTTACTTAATCACATTTCAATCGGGATTGTCTGCCGAATATTATGCAATAAATAACTTTTTGCTAAAGAAAAAAATGTGTATCTCAATCTATCTAGATTTCTCTATAGAAATTTATGTTGAAGAAAAGTCGACTTTTTAAATTCATGCAGTAATGTTCTCATTTGTTCTTCTAACACGTTCATCGATGATATATTGCAAAATCTGTTGGTTGTTGTAATAAATAAAATTGAAGTTTCATGCTGAAAAATTGCTGGAGGCAAAGGTTATCGGCTATTATTGCGTAAACATGACATAAACTGCTTTAATATTAAAATGAGATAATAAACATCTTGCAAGGATAAAAATCAATAGTCAGACATTAGAATTCTAGTAGCTTACAAGCTTGTTTTTTTTCTGCATTAATCTGAATTTACAAAGCTATTCATTTTTTAGATTATTCATTTGCAAAAGCCGCATGTAATAATCATATTTATTGGACTAAGATAATCATTTCAGACATCATGTCGCATTTAAAATTACGTAAAATCATAATATTTTTCATAAACACATAGCAAATAATATTTCTTTCTACCGAAAGATTTTCTCCTATCAAAGTATTAAAACTTCTCTATTAATTCAATCAAGCAAATTTTTCCCATATTCACACAAATACTTCAACGTATATTGCAATTTAATTGCAATTGCAAAATAATTTTCTTCCATTCACGCCACTAAACTTAATTTACTTCAACGTATTGCAATTTAACTGCAAAATAATTTTTTCCTACTCGCGTCACTAAACTTAATTTATATCAAGTTTCTCCATTTTCAATCGCCTGTAATTTAAATGTAAAAAAAAATCAATTTCATATCGATTAAAGAACTTATGGATAATAAACGGAGAGAAAGGGAAAGAGTTTAAGCAGCTGTTTAAGAATAATATACTTTTGTATGTACATGTAGAATTGAATGTTGCACCTGTCACGATTTTAAATCGGACAGGATGATGCACTTGACTCCACAGGATTGGGGAATCTCAACAAGCCGTGGCCCGGGCGCGACAGGAGGATGCCACTCGCGCGTCCCCGGAGCGAGTCGCTCGCGTCGCTGCGATCGTTCGCGCAAAGCCGGATGGCCCCTACCCGCCGCGTTCTACCTGTCAGAAGGTGGCATCGCGCCGCTTCCACGAGTGAACCCCTCCACGGGAAGAGGGGGAGGGGAGGGGGGAGGGGGGAGGAGGGGACGAGGGGATGACGAAGGGCAGCGGGGTGTCGCGTCCCCGAAATCCGGCGGGCGACCGCGGTCCGGTGACGCGGCGGCTCTCCGGTACCAAGCCGGTCCCCGGAGAGCCTCGAGAATCCTCGTTGTCTCAATATGGCAGTGGCTCGCGGTCGCGCTCGCGCGCGCGCGGTTCGTACGTGTGAATGTGTACGCGCGCGCGGCGTACACACTCGGAATATACGAATGCACTCACCGTTCTAACGGCCATCGTCCCGTCGGCCGGTCGTGCCGCATTCTCGCCCCGCGTGACTCTCCCGCGTGTGGACGAAAAACGATCGGAATCCCCCGTCGACGTCCTCCGTGCAGGAGCCGCGCGCGAAATCCGCAGCCGAATTCAAGCCAGGCGCATCCGCCGCTCCTCGTTCCCCTCGTTCCTCAGGTCTCGCAACTCCGATCTGCTCCGCGGCGACTCGCTTGACCGCCGATGATTGTCGTTCGCTTCCTCTCCCCCCGCTTGGAACGGATGGTGGCAGTCGAACCAACGCGATCCGAAACGTGCACTAGCCGTCGCAAAACATCGCGCGACACGGAGGGGGGACGGGGGTGCGAATGAAAAATTACTTGAATACGAAACGACGCGAAAGACGAGACGAACCGATTGCTCCGCGGCCCAGCGACGCTCGCCACAACATAACTGGACACCGGTTGGTGGGGGGAACTGAACCGACCGACGAGAGGCACGGAGGCACGGAAGGGGAGAGGCCTCCCGGGAGGGGGTAGGGCGTGGGACGGAAGGGTAAAGGGGTACGAGAGGGGCCCACTCTCGGCATGAACGGGTGTACGTATGCCGCGTGTACGTGCGGGAAGATCGTTGGGTATCGAGCTTAAACGATATTGCATATACACGTGGATTTCTCGGACAATTTCTGGGACAGAAATGCTTACATAATTGGCCCAAGGCGAATCGCAAATTTGTTGCAGGCTAGCAACATAAAAATATCATCCTCATGATGTTTCATTTCGTTCCTTCTGATGCATTTCTTCTTTCTTTCAGTATGACAACCGTGAGGGATATTTTACAACAAAATGAGGGAATTCTCCTTTAGTTTCCTCCTTAAAGATCTTTTTTTTTTAAACGTTCAATCTTTTCAAACAATTGTTTCTGAAATTGATGGGGATTTATATTCCCTAATTTTCTCAGTTGAAATTTATTATATGTATCGTTCCAACGAGACGATATGCATGTTGCGGTCGGACTCACTCCAGGTCCTTTTTTTTGTTTGTTTTCTGACGTGTATATATAATAAATGATAGAAAGTTCTTTAAAAAAAAAATCATCGTTTTTATTTATACTATTGTATAATATTGACCAGATAAAGCAAGGTGCACGTGTAGTATCATTTCCAACGGATTTTACCGCAGACGGCGTGAGTAGTCGATTCCCGAAGCGAATAATATGCGCGATAGAAAATGCACGATCGACAAAGGAAACGCGAGAGAGTGTAAGAGAGTGAAAATAGCAGCTGTCAGATGAGCCATCAGCCAGCTAAGATTGCAAGCCTTTTCCCGTAAGAAGCGCATCTGGGCTTTAAGCGCAGCACTTGCGCGCGGCGCGCAGTTCCCCTCATTTGCGTTTACAATGTGCGATCATTTTCGCTCGTGGCGCACACGCGCTTACATAGAGACAGGCAAGACGGCAATTAAGAAATTCCGAGAAACGGAGGTCGCGGGAGGAGTTAGGAGTAGGGCATTTAATAGCGGCGTCAGCGTGCAACAGCCATTGTGCCGACTTTTGTTTTCGCAGCGCGCGATTCACGTTGTTTTTTTTTCTTTTTCAATGTCTTTACGTAACGTCTAAATTTCCGAGCGCTTCGCGCGCTAGCAGCGCGAAGTTCGTGATACGATTCTTAAAGCGGAGCAACGACGATTGACGCGCTCGCGGAAACGATCGGTAAAAGAAAACGAGGCAAAAAAGATGAGAAGGCTCTGACGATTTCGCGCGTCTCTCGCGTGGAAAAAAAAAATAAAAAAGTTAACAGCGAATTGGAAACGTAAAATCCGAAAGTCATCCAGCTGAGAGGCATAAAGAGGCGAAACACATTCGGCCGATATTTTCTACATCCACCGTTGATTTCTCGATTTTTCAAACATAAATACTTAAAAGTTATTTCTCTATAAAGCCTCTCTAAATTTTTCCTATATGTTATTTATAGAATCAATTATAGTTTTATAAATTATAATTCAATGACGTTGCAAATTAATATGCTAAAATTATAATTGAGCCTCTTGGCTCGTAAATCACATGTATTTGTCTCAATATATCAATTTAAATAGAAGAGGAAAGGGCAGGACGCGATTCGATCGAAATCGCAAGCACTCTCACCATTTAATTTCTCGTAATTTAAATATCGCAAGCAAATAACGTAAATAATGGAATACAATGATTTTGTGGATTAAGTTGAACTCACATTCTCTCGATCATCTCGATGTTAATCACGCTAATCACACAGCTCTTACAGGCGACAACGACCGTCCTCGGAAGCGAGATCCTTGAGTATCAATCCCGCCGCGGCGATCTGAAAATAAATGCCAATTAGTTACGCATTGTCTTCGGCATTCCGCATTGTCATAGGTTTGTTCGCGTTGCTTGAAACTCCTACAAATTTTTGCACTTGAAACATGATAAATGTTTATGTTTTATATATGTATATATTTTTTGAACGTCTAAATTATGCAAAAAAAGGGCAAGCAACACGGATCGATCTTGTAGACAGCAGCGATTTTAGAAATTGCTTGAAGCAACGTGACGCGATGTAAACTTTCGATCAGAAAAAGAGAGTTTTCTGATTCACGCGTCGAATTGAATTTTCGTGGTCGCGAATCGCCATGTTGAAACGCATATGATTTCAAGCATCGCGCTATCGTGAAATAAGAGAATATGTAGAATAACAGATACTTGCTATTTAGGTTAGAAAACGCGAGATTAATGAAGGCATTCATGTCCTCTCGATTCCCTTCCGACCCGAACGAACAATCCGTCGATCGTGACACTCGTGAAAACGTCGCGGCCAGAGAAACTTTCAGAAAAGTCGTCGCGTCGGCGTCGTTTGAACGAAGGAACGATGGAACGAACTGTGCGCGGTGAATCTCACGTAGTTAAGCGAAACGTATTCGCGCGTCAGTTCCGTCAGGCAAACTCCGCGCGATTGTAGCATTACTCGTGTACATCTAATGCTGACTCTTCCACAAATCGATTACGCGAACGCACGAACCATTTCTGATTCTTGGGAGAGAATGCGTGTGCATATACATACACGGAAGGAAATCGAAGGCCGTGGAAATCCGTGCCAGTCCGTGGACCGTGGACGACTGAACGCAGGACGGTGGATGTGTTACCTGTCGGTACCGAAGTTTCCAGTGTGCCTGTCGGTAACAAAGCGTTCGTTACATAGTTCACGCTTCGCGCACATAGAGGCGCTACTAAACGGATGATTCCATTCATTCAGGCCGTCCAGGCGCTTTCCGTGGCTTTCCGCGAGACACGGACACCGGTTGTATGTGATTCTCGGGTTTCTTTCATGTGTTAACCGATTGTTATTAATAATCCCGATTCAATCTCGACAGATTGAAGCCATCTGCGCAGTTATTCGCGAATTTATCAAAAGATAGGAGGAATAGAATTCAGAAAATGACAAAAATATATACGTGCTGTATAACCTAAAAGTACAGGTTAGGATCACGTGGACCGTCAAAGTTTACGCTTTTTTTACGAGTGAAATAATAGCGATAAGAAATAATAATGGCATCGATTGCCAGACTAGTGAATTCCGTCGACGTGAATTCGAAGGAATTCGAGTCGCTGGTGCACGATTTGATGGTCGATAATAACGACGTGCCGTTTGACGGCCACGAGGTATGTACGCGGAACAGACATCTCGAGTTCTTTCTTTATTAAGCTCCCCGTAGGCACTTGGCGTAACGCGTCGTTCACGTTTGCATCTTCAGGTCGACGCTGTGCAAAATGCTTTCGTGAAGGGTGTCAATTCTCGCATAAATCAAGCGGGATGCGATTTCCTGCCTATCTTGGACAGAATCTTGCCCACGTGTTCCAAGGATACGTTTGCAAAGTACGGTTTGCTCTGGATAGCCAATGCCACGAAAGTGCTGGAAAACGTGCACAGCAGCGCGCGAGACTTGACCCTGGCGTGCAAAGTGTTGGGAGTTTTGGTCGAGCACTGCAAGGAAATTCCGGATTTGCACAAGCAGATCTCCATGCAACACGTGAAGCAGCTTCTGAATGTTCTCAGCGCATTGCAACCGGACGCGAAATCTGGAGCAATCTATTACTTGGTGGCTGTACTGCTTTATCATTATTCCGAAGTTTGCGAAAGGTTTCAGGTAACGGAAAGATTTATCAGCTGAACGTTTTACATTAATCTCAATCAATGCAAAAAAATCGTACACGAATAAGAAATTGTTTGATCTCATTTTCAGGAACTGATAAGGAAAATGATATTACTACAAATCGATTCCACGCAAGAGAACTTGGTTAACGCCAGCGCAAGATGCTACGTTCTTCTGTCCAAAGCGACGGAGCGCTCATTCAAACCACCGCCGTCTAAATCTGTATACACATCAACGACGTACAACGAGGTGTTGCTTTGCAACAATTTGCACGCTATAATGGACGAATTGTTCTCCGGATTGATAGAGCTGGAGAGTGTAGACATCTGGGATAAATTAGAATTGCCACCCATTTCTAATCGGGACGCGGTACAATGCTACAATAGGCAGAAACAGAGATTTACAAATCTGTGCGTTTATTTCGCCTCAATGTTACGGTACTGGTCTATTAATTTTCGCGAATTAATATTATCCGGGATAAAATATTATCGGGAGCTTGAAATATATATTTGGTTTAAAATTGCAGTGGATACGAAGCGAGAAATTCTGTTCTACCTCACGATATTCTAGGAGTCCTGTGCCGAGGATTGGCGGTAACGCCGTTAAATCTGGTGAATAAAACTTCCTTTAAGGAACAGATGCTGTACATCATCTTACCAAAAATGCATATCGGCTTACTCAAAGTTTTGGACGCGTTTATAAATGGGTACATAAATTTCGATAAGATGTATATTCAAACAATTGTAGATAATGTAGCTTATGATGCAAAATGTATGCTCCAGATTTGCTCAGGAATTGGTACCGTACGGGACAACTGTATTACAGTTGTTTCAACAAACGTTGCAGTGGACAAGTGTCATCTTGGAAAATCAAGTGACGTTTAGCGACAGTAAACCTTTCCGAAGTGTCAGGATATACGCTTACAAGTGTCTGTGTTCGTGGCTAATTAATACGGGTTCATTGTCGGGCATAGAGACAGTTGGAAATGAATGCGTCGCGGGCATATTGAAGGATGTGACACCAGAACGAGACTGCATATTATTGGCCGTAAGTTTTGAATGATTATCAATCAAATGGCGCTTGAATCTAATAATTTCAAGTTTTTGCAAAGAGAATTGTTATCTTGGTTTTAGACGCAACCAAAAACGCAACACATGTCTAAACGGGCAGTAAAACGTTTCAAACGTAGTCAGTATGAAAATAGTGCAGTTTTGAATAATCGAGAGAGCTCGACGAAAAACGGACGTCTCGATGCGGATTTGTGCAGAGGGGCTCTCGTCGCTTTGCAGAATATACTTTACAGCGGTAGTGTCCTGTTGAAACAGATGATTTACAAGGTAAGTCCATTAGGTTTGTTATGATGCATCTTCACGACTTTCCTGAATATTTCTTTCAGAGCGTGCAGAATACCGTGATATCCGTGTTGTACAATCTTTATCTGGATGCTGCTGAACAGAATTTCTATAAAGATCACAACGCATGCCGCTTGGAGTTGTTTAGGGTATTGAAGGCTTTGCAAATGAATCCACACGTCGCATTGGCATTTCCTACACAATATTGCCTGGAAATATCGCACATGGCAGCTTACGATGTCGATTTGAGTATTGCTCAAGAAGCAAAACTCGCGTTAGCCGAGCTGGAAAAAATTATACATCCTGCTGCGCCTACGTTACAGTTACCTCGCCAGCAGTAAGTATTTTAAATATTATTTAAGCTTGTATCTTTTAAGTATATTTAAGAGTTTATATAGAGCATTAGCAACTTTTTCATATATTAAATAAATTACAGAAATACATATTAATTTCTAGGGAATCTGATGAACTTATGCCTGAAAATCAAACAGAAGAAGTTGCTGCTACTAGCGGTAAATCAGATAAAAGAAGTAGGGCCGAAGAAGAGCTTTCTCAAGATGCAGACGCGGCATCATCTGTACATAAACGACCAAAAGTAACTACGACGCAAAACATTGAAACAGTACAGAATGGAAACGATATAGAATTCACAGAGGAGAATAGTAGCGTGGATATGAATATGGATATGAATGAGGCTCAGGCAGACGACACATATAAGGAGATAGAAGAAGAAGAAGAAGAGGTCGAAGAAGTATTAGAAGAACGAGACAGGACACAAGACGAGAGGCAAAGTCAGCAAAGAAATATCGAGACAAGTCCAAATGTTACTACTGAAAGTAGAGTGGAATGTGTGGCCGCGCATATTAATACAAAGGAACAGCGTGAGCAATCTGAAGATTCGGTATCGCGTGTCGGCAAAAGAGTGGAAAGAAGTCCTAAAATCATCGAAAAGGTACAAAAGGCATCGCAAAACGAATGGGAAGAATTGGACGATGATTTACTGAATTCTCTAAATTTGTTTCACGACGAAGTAAAATCAAGCGATTAAGCGCTTTTATTTCATATATCTTTGAAATAAAAAAAAAAGAAACGTATGTATAAACGTATTGATTAATAATTCAACCGACGAATGGTAGCTTCGGTATAGGTACTTTCGGTAATATACCATCGTTCGTTTTCCGCTCCGTTGTATCGTTTTTCTTCGGCTCTTCAGTATTCCGGTCTATCAATTTGCCTGCGACATCGAGGCCGGACTTGGGAACAATTTCGTTGAACGTGTCGATAGGCTTCTGCATTACAGATATCGTTCCTTTCGCACCTTGTTCTAACAATTGAAGAGGCACTTTGTATAAACTGCACATTGGTGATTGTAGTCGTTCCGGTACCGCCCATAATCCCATTTCGCAGAATCTGAAATTAATATATGAGTTAATAGTGCGTATCAGATTAATATTTAAACGTAAAGTTTCTCGCGTTACCTAAAATTATCCATGCTCTTCGGAGTTGTCGTGATACTGACAAAGGAATTTTTGTCATCCGAGAATTTTGGAATTATATTCGGCATCCAGCTGCTGTCGTTAGAGCGTACATTCGTAGGTATGCTAAGCGTGCCGTTTCTCGCGAAATTCGCTATCATATCCGTAAAAATGTCAGTCACGCGTTCATCCGCTTCGTCCGGCTCTCCGCTATCGCTCACCTTCTCGCCGGTAATTGTGTTTCGATTAAAAATGTATCCCAGATCATCGCCGTGATTTAAATTATCTACAAAACGTGATCGTTAATTATATCAATATTACAAGAACGCAACGTGATATAGTTTGTCGATTATTAGAAATAATTGTACCATCCAAGGATCGTTTAGCGTCGACGATTGGCAATCCGCGGAGAAAGTCTTTACCGTAGTTTCTCTTTCCCTTGTGGTCGAAAGTGTACAGGAACGCGTTCGCCCTTTTCGACCAGTGATTGAGGGTCAGAAATGCGGGAACGTTGTAGAGCGAGTCGCCCAGAGCTTCCGCGACTTTCCCGACGTTGTTCGGTGTGCCACCTTGGAGTATGTCGAGGTAGCCGCGGAAGGCTTGCGGGACAAACCGCGATCCGTTTTGAATATTCGGAATTGTTCCTTGCAAATACGGTATGAAATCGCCGGTCAAATAATCCGGGACCGTGCTCAGCTTGTTTTGCACCTCGTCTCTGTATCGACCGAGGACGGCGCCTCCCGTTTCGTCCCTCATGACGCCCGTCAACAGCGGTATAGACGGAAAATCGCCGAGCCTCAGGGAATCCTCCGGCGACGCGGTCATGAAGTTTGGAAGCGACCTTAAAGATAGATGGTAAATTTGATCTTGGGAAGGACTCGGCTCGTAATTTTATTCTTCGGCGAATAAATCGCTTCACACCTGCCGTCGTTGGGGCCTTCCACGACAGGACCGGGTCCCAGAAGATCTGCCAAGCCGGAGACGAAACCTCGGACGGACGCGCGGCTGTTCGCCAGCTCGGAATCGACGCTGATCAACTTCTCGACCGGCAGTTCTCGCAGGCAGTCCACCATCCTCCGCGTATCGTTTGTCGGGCAGCCGTTTTCACGCGCCACGTGTCTGGCGGTCGCGGCGGCGTCCTTGTCGAGAGCGAAGTGCGATAGAATGGAGCCGGACATCGCGATCAGACCGCCGAAGTAATCTGCAGGAATATATATATATATATATAATGTCAACGACGCGAGTGAGGACGCGTTTGCTCGCGGCGCGACAGATCGTGCAGCCGCGCGCTTACTTTTGCAGAATTTTGACAACGACAGCATTATAGCGGAACTGGCGCCGGTGCCGTGACCGAAGGCTGTTATCTTGTTCGGATCACCGCCGAAGAAGTGGATGTAATCCCTCACCCAGTCCATAGCCAGCACCATGTCGAACATACCGTTGTTTCCCGGCATCTCCCGTGTACCTGTGCTCAAAAATCCTGGAACAGGGAGAGATTCGGTGAGATCATTTTCCCTCCCCTGCCGTACACTTGCATCAACATTGTATGTTCTCCTCGGCGTTTTAATTTCAATTACCTAATGTTCCTAATCTGTACTGGACAGACACGACGATCAGCTTCTTTTTAATCAAGTGTCTCATTTCGTACTGACACGCCGCGCCTCTCCTAAAACCACCCCCGTGGATCCACACCAGTACAGGATAACCGCCGCTGGAATCCGGCAGCGATGGGGTAAAGATGTTCAGAAAGAGGCAGTCTTCGCTTCCGATGACTTTACCGGTTTCATTGTGGCTGGGCTGAGGGCAAGGAGGTCCCCACTTAGTGGCGTTGTATTCCCCTTCGAGATGTACGGGCGAAGATCGCTGAAAATTTATGTTTCTTAAAAATGAAGATGGTAATTTGACAATAAAATCTTGGTAGCTTCATTATTTTCTTACGAAACTTTAAAACACAAGAAATAATCGAAATCGAAGGCAGTTAGCATATTATATTAGTAATTGTTAAAATTATTTTACAATTTATATTTCAGTATGAAAATATATAGAATAAATGTGGCATTTAAAGAATATATAGAAAGAGTTAACATTATAAAAAATGAATTAGTTATATTTGACCGACTACCAAATTATATACATATCATTTCCGCAACAAGTTTTCTACGTATTTAAAAGCTTCCTTTTAATTTTTTGGCCAGAATTGATAACGTGTATCAAGTTCATTAAATTGGGCCATTGTGACAGGATATGCCGAGAGATAAAATAACGCTCCGTTCTGCCTGATCGCGTTATCGATTAATAATAGCGTAAAAGCAAAAAAACACGGCCTCTTATTTCTACGTGGAAGACTGCTATTATTACTCGCTCGTTGAAGTGACGTACACGTTTACTCTATAGGTCATTGAATTTAATTATCGTCTATATATTGTGATACTTTTCTAATGCCACAGTTCACGTAACGGTTTAATTCAGTTGTTAACGTAGTCAACGCGTGCACTCGCAAGCGTTACATAAAAAAAATACTAATCCAATAAATTGTACGTTATTTAAGACTTCAATCCGAGACTTCTTACAGATCCAATAAAATATCGATAAAATCTTTTAAAATTTAAATTATACCATTTAACATCTTACATATCTACACATATAATACACAGATAAGAATTACGAGGAATTTTGTTAAATGTGCAAAGATTTTAAATTGTATCTGTGTGCAAATTTATATTTATATATTAGAGTGATAAATTAATCTTTTTATTATTATACTTATATATATAGATCTACCTGGAATCTAGCTCGACCGGTTGGCGGTTGCCCAAATCTGATTCCACGAAAGACATAGAAACCCTTGTCAGGATCGCGGGTGCCGATAATGCGCGCGTCTCGACCGTTTTTATTCACAAAAACTACCGGATCGTCCACGGGAGGCTTCGCGGCAGGGACACCGCCGACGATTCTCTTTCGTCTAATCAAATCTGCGTCTTTGGCATTTATTAACGAGCAAAGCAAAAGGACGAGCGAAACGACGCGTCCGTCCATTTCGAATGCGTGCGTTGAAATAAAAGAATTAATTGTCGCTCGTCTCTCGCGGGGCATTCGGTGTGAACGAACTGGTGGGGATGCACATCGACAGTCTTTATTGCGGAATCCTTATTGTTACAGAAATTAATTTACAAATGATTGTTTTGCAATTTTTACATTTTAAGATTTAATTTTTATTAGCGAGAAATAGAGCATATAGTTATGACGATATAAAATTACAAATCTTCCTAATAATTTCCTTTTAAGAAGACTTGTTGAGACTGATGGGGATGCACGTCGACAGTCTTTATTGCGGAATCCTTATTGTTACAAAAATTAATTTACAAATGATTGTTTTGCAATTTCTACATTTTAAGATTTAATTTTTATTAGCGAGAAATAGAGTTATGACGATATAAAATTACAAATCTTTCTAATAATTTCCCTTTAAGAAGCTGAGACTGGTGGGGATGCACGTCGACAGTCTTTATTGCGGAATCCTTATTGTTACAAAAATTAATTTACAAATGATTGTTTTGCAATTTTTATATTTTAAGATTTAATTTTTATTGACTTAAGACGAGAAATAGAGCTTCAACATAATTATAATGATATAAAATTACAAATCTTTCTAATAATTTCCCTTTAAGAAGACTAGCTGAGACTAAGATTTTTTGTAATGCTATTTATAATTAATATATATAAAAGCTCGTAAAATATCTAACATCGAAAAATTTGCCCTGACAAGAAAATTTCTTTTTAGAAGCAAATTTAAGGAGTTATCTGTATCTGTTAACTGACGCTTGATTTATCTGCCTATCTAATTCATTAAAATATAAAAATGTGCGCAAAATATAATTAACTCAATCATATATATTATATGTTTGATACTTACGGATGTAAGTTTGAATCGAACGCCATTTTGACTACGTGGATCAAGCGAAGCACCGCGGTGTCTCTCAATCACAGCCGACTTCCGGCTTCGTCCTCCTCTACTTGATGTCGGCTCCTTCGGTACGTGGGTAGGATTTCGCTGGCGCGGATTATCCGCGTCGATCTACCGCGCTCGGGGCGAATCCGCTGAAGGAAACTCACGATTACGTGCTCGCCGTTTCCCGTTCGCAAGGTGCACTCGATAATTTACGCGAGTCACAAAAATCATACACGAGATTCGCAGTCTCGCGCGGTGTCTCGACGAGGTTAAGATGCGCCAGCTGAAGTGCGACAACGTGCGACGAGGCGCGCGCGGTGTCATCCGTGCGGCGAGACGCGTTCACGCGTGACAGACGTGATTTCTTTTCAGGTTTTTTTTTGAGCCATGGGTCGAGTAATTCGTGCGCAGCGTAAAGGTGCGGGATCCGTGTTCCGCTCCCACACCAAGAGGAGGAAGGGAGCGCCGAAGCTGCGGTCTCTGGACTTCTCCGAGAGGCATGGATTCATCAAGGGTGTCGTGAAGGTTCGCAGCAACTCTCTACTTTATATTGGGAATGATATTCGATTGGCACAATTGTAGAATTCAGATCGACATTTTGGGGAGGAATTTACGAGCTGGATTTACACTCCGGTTTGTGTCTGAATTCGTCAGTTTGTATCGTGATGATGCCAAACATACCTACGTCTGATTGATTAGATGACGTTAAATTAGAGGCTCTTTCTGAGGATACATTCTTTTTTTTTCACGTTACAAAGATGTTCTTAATCAGTTTGACAGATGTATATTTGACGTACGTGTCTCTTTTTTTCTGTTTAGGACATCATCCATGATCCCGGTCGTGGCGCGCCGTTAGCGGTGGTGCATTTCCGTGACCCTTACAAGTTCAAAACGCGTAAAGAATTATTTATTGCGCCCGAGGGAATGTACACCGGCCAATTTCTGTACTGTGGAAAGAAAGGTGTGTACAGCGACATCCTAGACTAGAATTAGCACCTGAACGGAGTGAAATTAATGATGCTTCATGTACGAAGCAAACCGCTCTGATTTAATAAAAATTTGATTTATCACATATTGGTTATCAGTAGCAGAAAAAACGTGTAACGTTTTCAATTGTTTCCAGCCAACCTCCAGATCGGTAACGTGATGCCAGTCGGCATGATGCCGGAGGGTACGATCGTCTGCAACTTGGAGGAGAAGACCGGCGACAGGGGCCGATTGGCTAGGGCCTCTGGCAATTACGCGACAGTAATAACACACAACCCGGACACCAAGAAAACGAGAGTCAAGTTACCGTCTGGCGCGAAGAAGGTCATTCCCTCCAACAACAGAGCGATGGTCGGAATCGTCGCCGGTGGTGGACGTATAGATAAGCCCATACTCAAGGCCGGTAGGGCTTATCACAAGTACAAGGCCAAGAGGAACTGCTGGCCCAAGGTATGCCTTTGGATTTTCACACCGTCGCTTCTCAATTTGCACGGAGAATTAAATTTTTTTTTTTTTTTTTTTCTCAATGATGGCATAACTTGAGACATTTGAAACCCGAAGAATTTCAATGTGGAAATTTTTTTTTTTAACTGAGCAAACTTTTTCGTATCGAACTTCCGATGCTCTCTCGCCGTATACTGAGACACCCGAAACCTTTTCCAGGTCCGTGGTGTCGCCATGAATCCCGTGGAGCATCCTCACGGTGGTGGTAACCATCAGCACATCGGTAAGGCGTCCACCGTCAAGCGAGGCACCAGCGCCGGTCGTAAGATCGGTCTCATTGCCGCTCGTCGTACCGGCAGAATTAGAGGTGGCAAGACCGACACGAAGAAGGACGATTAGATTAAACGCTGATATTTGGGCGCATGTTGTATAATAAAAGAAAAAACATTTACTAAACTTGCATTTGTACACTCCAACGGAATTCCGCGAGTTCTAACGATTTCAGGCAGTCGAGCTGAAGGTAAATCGATCTTTCCTGCGCCTCTAGACTTGATCAAATGGCATTATTGCTTGAAATTTAACCAAGAGATAGGTTAGGTTTCATTTGTAATTGTTATTGACATTTGTTTCTGTTATAATTGATATAATTTTGTTAAAATTGTTATCTAACATTTGAATTAGCAATGTCAATAGAGAAATTGGTAGGAATCTTTGATATCTTGATTAATTTTTTTGAAATTAGATATATATATTTATTTTATTTAGACAGACTTGTAATCCATCCTATTATCTAACATTTGAATTAGTGATGTCAATCATAGGGAAATCGGTAGAAATCTTCAATTTCTTGATAAATTCTCTTGAAATTAGGTAGATATATTTATTTTATTTAGACAAGTAGACTTGTAATCCATCCTATTATCTAACATTTGAATTAGTGATGTCAATCATAGGGAAATCGGTAGAAATCTTCAATTTCTTGATAAATTCTCTTGAAATTAGGTAGATGATTTATTTTATTTAGACAAATAGACTTGTAATCCATCCTATTATCTAACATTTGAATTAGTGATGTCAATCATAGGGAAATCGGTAGAAATCTTTGATATCTTGATTAATTCTCTTGAAATTGGGTAGATATATTTATTTTATTTAGACAGACTTGTAATCCATCCTATTATCTAACATTTGAATTAGTGATGTCAATCATAGGGAAATCGATAGGAATCTTTAATATCTTGATTAATTCTCTTGAAATTAGCTAGATATATTTATTTAGACAGAGATAGACTTGTAATATCCATCTTAATATCGCATCTAGTATTCTTATCTGCACCAAAAAATTTAATCTACGTGAAAAATAAGAAAAGTGCTCGCGAATTTTAAATTATTGAAAGCGCTCGTTGTTATCAACCGTGCGTTCAGTCGGTTATGTTGTCGCGCGTATCTCTCGTGCAATAACTATATATAATAATAATAGACAATATATTTCCAACGTAAATTTTCGAAAATTTTTGCATTTGGCGTTTTTTTTCCGTTTGGCATCTGACGTGAGGGGGGTGGGGAGGGAGGGCGGCAGAAGGAGGAGGAGGAGGCTCCCCCTTCCCGAACATGCCGCGTTCCGTTGCCCGTGAACGTCCGGCGGAAGTCGGGTCGCCGCCATTTTGGCAGCTCGGGAACTCGGCCATTTTTGTTGCGTCAACGTCGAGTGCGGCCAGGGGCCTCTCGCGCTTTCCTAGCAGTCACGCCAGTTGCCAGTCGCCTCCGGGATTCCTTCGTATCGTGTTCAACGAGAGACTCAACCGGCACACGCGCCGTTCCTTCTTCGATAAAACTGATAAAGAATCGGGGCCGAGTCGCGAGGCTAGCGAGGCTAACCCGCCTGGCGAGGCGTTAAAATATCAGTCCGTGAGACGACAAAGAGACCGTGGGAGAGAGAGAGAGAGAGAGAGAGAGCAAAGGCAAGAAAGACAGAGATAGCGCGTTAGGACGCGTTGGGAATTTTTTTCGACTCGAGAGTGTGTGTGTGAGCAGAGAGAGAGAGAGAGAGAGAGAGAGAGAGAGAGAGAGAGAGAGAAAGAAAGGAGCGACAGAGAGAGAAGAGACGAGCTACAAAGGGCTTCAAGCGACAGAGCTGCGAAAACTACGCACCGAGGCGGAGTAATATGAGTAATGCAGCCAACCAGAATGGATCAGGTCTAGAGCAGCAGGTAAGGAGAAAAAAAAGGGACGAAAAGAAAGGATCGGAGATGGCATTGTTCCCCTCGGGTGGGAAGCGTCCCCCGCGCGAATCCCCCCCCGCCCCCCGTCTCGCTCTCCTATCTTACGCGTTTTCGCATCTTGTCGCGATCCCAATTTGCGAGGATTTTCCCCGCGGGACACCCCGGAGAGACGCAGACGCCCGTTTCTCGCCGTGGAGAGCCATCTCCTCGCAGGGGAATTTCCTTTATCCGATCGAAGAGAGTAGGGGAGAGAAGGGAGAGAGAGAGAGAGAGAGTGAGCGAGCGAGCATCATGGGCCGTCACTCGTCGGCCAGCTCGTGACGTACGCTACGTATAATGGCGGCAAGCGATTCCGGGAACGGCATGCCTCGTGTCGCGACGCGCTCGTTCCCTCCGTCTCTCTTTCTCTTTCTTCGACTCGCGCTCTCTCGCTCCCTCTCCCTCCCCCCCTGCGCGGAGATAGGATTGCGCGCGGCAGGCGGGAGAGGGGCCCCCCTCCGCGCGCAAGTCGGATTTTCGCGGAACCCGATCGAGATGACTCATCGCCGGATCGGATGATAATGACTTTATCCGCGCGCGAATGCCATGCGGCTGCGAATCTTGCGATACAATACGCAATCTAATCTGGGCCCTTCTTTCTGTTTCCCCCCCCCCCCCCACCCATCCTTCACAGCTAGCTGGTCTGGACTTGCAGGGCTCCCGCCAACCAAGTGGGGGCCGCTACGTTCCACCGCATCTTCGTCATAAAGCTGCGAGTGAGTGTAAGAGCCTTGAAACTATTAATTTGTAAATTGAATTACGGTGGAATTGTCCTTATTAAAAAATTCATCACTATATAGTTAACGACTATAAGCGACTAGCATTTGCATCAGATGATTCAGAAAGTGTACAGCAATAGATTTGACATGTCGGGACTGATATGCGTATACTGGTCAGCAGACTGTCTCAATCTCTCTTTAGCTTCACTGGAACTAAAAACTGCTTCGCGAAGCAGAAGAAATATATAATATATATAAATGTTTGATTTTCCCTTCGACAGGTAATCCACCCTCGGATTTGAACTACTCTTCCAACTCAAGATCGTTTGTGGATAGAGACAGAGGGGGAGATCGCGATCGTGAAAGAGATGATCGGGATAGGGGCAGAGGAGGCGGTTATCGAGACTCGCGGAGTCCTCGCGACGTCGACTTCGCGAACTTCGGGAGCTTCGGTGGGCGCAATAGGCGCAGCCAGGAAAATGGAAGGGATTACAGATACTCCAATTCCGAGCGCGATCGACCAATTAGCGGCAACGATCGCTGGCAGGAGCCTATTAGAAATGACCGCTGGCCGGACAACGGCAGAAATGACAGGATGGGCGGCGGAGGACGATGGGGCGACGACAGAGGCGGCAGAGGCAGAGGCGAGGTCGACTGGACGATCCCGACTGCCAGGGACGAGCGACTGGAGCTGGAGCTGTTTGGCTCTGGCAATACTGGGATCAATTTTAGCAAATACGAGGATATCCCAGTTGAGGCTACCGGAGAGAACATACCACCACACATCACATCTGTAAGTATACGATACACGTACACGCGGAACTTTATCTGTCAAATGTCTCTTTCCTACTTTCTAATCCACTCGCTTTCTAATTTTTTCAGTTTGACGAGGTTAAGCTGACAGAGATAATAAAGAATAGCATCGTCTTGACAGGATACGATAAGCCTACACCGGTACAGAAGTACGCGATACCGATCATTATCGAACGCCGTGACGTGATGGCCTGCGCTCAAACCGGGTCCGGTAAAACAGCGGCCTTCCTAGTGCCAATATTGAATCAGATTTACGAGAGCGGGCCGCGACCACCGCCACCGCAAGCGAACTCCTCCGGCAGGCGTAAACAGTATCCGTTGGGTCTGGTGCTGGCCCCCACGAGAGAGCTCGCTACGCAGATATACGACGAAGCGCGGAAGTTCGCCTACCGTTCGCGTATGCGCCCCGCGGTCGTATACGGTGGCTCCAACATAGTGGATCAAATGCGCGAGCTGGATCGCGGCTGTCATCTACTTGTGGCGACGCCCGGGCGTCTGGTGGACATGCTGGGACGCGGTAAAATCGGCTTACATAATTGCCGGTACGTTTATCACGTCACACGCGACGACGATCAGACTTGAGAATTGGCACGATTTTGTATTCATATATATTTATTAATCGTTTTGCACTTCAGATTCTTGGTACTGGATGAAGCAGATCGCATGTTGGATATGGGTTTTGAGCCGCAGATCAGACGCATTGTTCAGGAGGACAACATGCCGCCGACTGGAGAGAGACAGACTCTCATGTTCTCTGCTACTTTCCCGAAAGAGATTCAAATATTGGCTAGAGACTTCCTCAGCAACTACATCTTCTTGGCGGTTGGCCGCGTGGGATCAACTTCCGAGAATATTACACAGAAGATTGTATGGGTGGAGGAACATGACAAACGTTCATACCTGCTTGATTTACTGCAGGCTAGCAACTTTTCAGATCCTAGTAAGTTGCAGTCCCGAGTTAGGGACTTGAAAAACATCAAACTCTCGATTGCAATAATTTATTTAACAAAATTCAATATTATAATAAATAATTTTTATACAATTTATATAATTATAAAAGAATTTTATACAAACAATTTATATATTTATAAAATTTATGCAGTTAAATTAATATATCGAGTCGAATGAAAGATTTGTTCCTTTTTTTTGTATTTATACTAATGCTATTTTTCAGCAAAAAATGGAACAAACTTTCTGTTCAACCTAATAAGTTGATAGAATATATTAAAAATATTAATAAATTCACTTGTGTTCACGCAGCTGCTGAGTCACTCACCTTAGTGTTCGTGGAGACTAAAAAAGGTGCCGACATGCTCGAAGAATACTTGGCCTCAATGGGATACCCGGTAACTAGCATTCACGGCGACAGGACTCAACGCGAGCGAGAGGAAGCGTTGCGTCGTTTCCGCGCGGGCAAGGCGCCGATCCTGGTCGCTACCGCGGTGGCAGCGCGTGGACTCGATATACCACACGTTAAGCATGTCATTAATTTTGATTTGCCTGGCGACGTTGAAGAATACGTTCATCGTATCGGTCGTACCGGTCGTATGGGCAACTTAGGTTAGTTTCGTTTTGAAGCTGTCGCACTACTGGCAGTTGGAAAAAAAAAATGTTACACCGTGTGTGTCTTACTTTTGTAATTCAGGTCTGGCCACCTCATTCTTCAATCACAAGAATCATAATTTGGTACGCGACTTGGTATCTCTGCTTATCGAAGCCAATCAGGAACTTCCACCTTGGCTGGATGACATGTTTACCGAAGCGAGATACTCCGGAGGTGGATCTCGGCGACCAGGCGGCGGCGGCGGCGGTGGCGGCGGCGGTGGCGGCGGCGGCGGCACCAAGGGACGCTTCAGTGGTGGCGGCTTTGGTGCACGAGATTATCGTCAACAACCCAGTTCTGGATCTCGTAGTAATGGGCCCTCTAGACCTGGTGGTTACGGAGGTAAATGAAACGATTACCATTAACACGCGATATTATTATAATATTAATGGAATATTAGAAAAAAAAAACGGATATAATATTCTGTTACATGTAATTCTTTTTATATGCATACATTTTATTTATTTCTCGTTATTACAGGCGGTTATTCAAGTTACGGAGGTAACTATAATAATTCATCGTACAATAATTCCACTAATAACGGCAACAGTGGCCCTGACTGGTGGGGAGCATGGGACAAGTAGACGATTATTTCCATCTCTATTTCTACTTCTATCATCATTATTATTATTACTCTACACGCAAATTCAATTATATGTAAGGAAAGACACGACATTATTATGTCCGACACTTACACGCACGTGTTTTGCGCGCGTATACATGTACACATGCGCAGAGTACAGACAGTTCCACGTTATAATACGTATTCACGTTTTCGCTGACTGCCTGTGCACTCCGAGTTTTTTGGATGAGAAGCAGAAAAAGAAATACTTACGTTTAATTCCACTATATTACATTTGTTCGCGACAAATTAACAAATCCTGCGTGCAATTTAGTATTCGCGCCCGGTGGATCGCCGGATGTTTTCAAATGTGAATGATCTCACCATAAAGAGTGCGCGTTATCGTAAATAGGATTTGTTCAGACACTTATTAGTTAGAGGTCCATCCAACATTTTGTTGCCGTGCGTGCTGAGGAACACAAGTAGTAATAACCACTAACGAATCAAATCGGTAAGTCGTTAGTCCCTGCTCGAAGGGAATAACGATGTAACACATAGTAGCTGAAGAAAAACTTAGTAAATTTTTTAGAACTCCTGTCGAGACTATGGGGCTCATCGTAACTTTATTATTTACATTATTCTCTCTTTTTCTTTTATAGGGGGTACGGTGGGCGTATCTTCGGTAATTATAGCGTTTAAACGTTTGACCGTGAAACATTTTAATGCACAAGCATTTTATTGCCCTTGCTAACATGAATGGCCAGTAAAAGTCGTGCAGTTTCGTTCAAATGAATAATTCTTTGTTTATACGTGCACGTTTATCGATACGCCTAGGATACGCCAAATTACCGTCGCTATAGATTACACACGATGATTCCTTATTAATTATTATTATTATTATTATTATTTTCCTTAATTTGCTGTAGTTCAGCGACGAATGGTACTTTGTTGTTTTGCCGTCCCCAAAGAGAGACGATATTGCGCCGGCAATATTATATGGTTTATCTGAATAAGCCACAGGTGAATTTTTCGGGGATCGACGGTTTTGATATTGAGAAAGATAAAATGGCAACACACAGGCTACGTCTTAGGATACCTTTAGAAATCTCACATTTTCGTTATAGCCTGATATATGCACATTGACATAATTTAGAAAATTTCAAGACGGCGCTTACGCGATTTACAGCCGGCAGTGTGTTTGTTTCGTAAGTTATTCTCATAACTTTGGCCGTTACAGTGAGACCTCGATATATACGGTAGAATGTCAATGCAAAAAAGAAAAGTTTTCTATATTTCATCAGTAATCTGTAAGATTTAAAGAAATTATTCTCTCGTTTACATTCTATGTTTCTTTATGAAATAAATATATGAAAAAGTAAAATTGTTCGCGGTCTTTGCACTGTCTCTCTCTTTCAAGTTGTAAACGTTTTGCGGCCTTAGATGACGAAGAAATTTTCCCGAAATATCTATAACTATGGAGGTTTCACTGTATAAAGAGTTAACAGCGGCTAAATATGCTTTAGTGGAAAGAGCAGGTATATATATATATATAAATATTTTATGTACCTGAGCTTCAATAGTTCTCTCTACAGACGGAACTGCGTTGATCCCACGTAGAAGCGTGCTTCTCGAGTAGCATTTCTAAACGTAACGGAGACGTTGCCCTGCGAAAATTGGTTTATGGCGCTTTATAAAGGAAATCTTAGTCCGCAGTACCGAATGCGAATGTGTGAGTGCTCATATGGCAGAGAAATTATATTGAGACGGGTAAAAAAAAAAATACGGTTGCAGTTACAGAGGGGGTTATTAAAACAAAAAGAGCAGAGCGAGCGATGCTTTTGCATCGACACACAAACGGGCTCTGTCTTCATTAAGGCAAAAAAAAAAATCCAGGGTGGGGGGGAAAATGATAGAAAGCAAGCATAAAGCCTCTTGAGGGAGACACACGGGGCGCACTCATATTATTTTCTAGCTGTATTTATCAGTATGATACGCGCGTTATATATAATATAAATACATAACACTAAAATAATTGAAGAAACGACTGTGATATCGAACGATCTTGTGACATTCAATTTCCATGCGAATTGATAAACGAACAATTAACGGAATAACAAATACAATAAATGTGTATTAATTAATCGGTATTGAATGTCGGGAAGGTGAACTTGAAGCTCAGTTGTTTTGAGCTGAGAACAAGAATATTAAGTCGTTAACAGTTAACACACACAAGACAACGTGGCTGTTGTCCGATCGGGGAGGGCTGAACGCTAGGGCTCTTACGGTCCCGTGGGGACCTTTCTAGGGCATTGTTTCTGCTTAAAGTAACGCGCATTAACGATATATAGGTGACGCGAGCTCGCGAGTCGTTTACCGGTTGAATGACGGGATTGGTGTTGGTATAGGGCTTTGTAGGATGTCGAAATATCGTTTCGTGCTAAATAATAAAACGTCGGGTTCTTGTCTATCTAATCTACTACGTGAGGGAGGAAAAAAAAAGAGTACAAATTCGATTTGCGTCACAACCGACAGGATTTTTAGACATGTCATACTTATACCTGTTATATTACTAGATTTAATAGTGCAATTCGCGTGCGTGAATCGTATGCCGTGTGACCGTGGACCAAGGTGTGAATGAATCCCTCTTTTTTTTCTTTTTTTTTAACGGAGGGGAGGGATCGATAATTAATTTCATCTAGAGCATTCAAGTGGTGGGGTAGCGTTTTAAACGAGGTGAAATATCGCGCGTTGGCTTCCGACCGTTGGGTGCGAGTGTTCTCAAATTTTTAATACGATTCGTCATCGAGGCTATATTTAATGTCGGTTCTCGGAGAGGCCCTGCCAAGAACGTTACAGAGAGAATCCTTTCGCGCGCGCGGAAACTTCCTCGTCTCTCCGCGCCGGTGTAGATATCTCCGCCATGGCAAAGCGGTTCCATTTGATTCCGCCACCGGAGAACACGTGGATTCTGCCGTGTCGCGGCGGCGTGTATCACGTTTCGCGAGGAAAAACTCGCATCGATTCGCACCGAGACTGGTGTCTACATACGCAGGCTTCTTGCGTCTCCTTTCCTATTTTACTTTGTATTATTTTTATAAAATGTGACGAAGGAAAAGGTATCGATAGAATTCCGATTCCACGCCGGGAGGAATTGATTTACGAACAAAGGCAGATTGTGTTAACGGATCAAATCTAAATGTACATGCAAAAAAACCGCGATACCGATTTTTATTCATTAACTCTTGGATGCATGAGAAACGCGCGGGCGGAGGCTTTGAGACCTTTTCTTTCCTCTAGGTAATCTCTTGGAGAGATAATAATTCCCGAGATGTGTGTGCTATCTTTCGTCGGTTATTCTCGATTTATATATAAAATTTATATCCCAGTATAGGAGAGACCACGACGCATCCAAGGGTTAAAAAGTTTAACTGTACTACAATGCGTTAGGCATTCGCAACGCGTCGATCGCGTGTTACGGCGTTTTAATCAGTCCTATGCATTTCGAAACACCTTTTTTTTTTTTCGTTTGCAACTTACATGGTGGGCAAAGAGAAATAATATTTTAAGCGGCGTTATGATTGATATAATAACGGACGCGCCGCTTTCACATACACACACACACACACACTAACTCGTTGTCTTCTAGCTTTTGTTTTCCCTTCAATGTTGACAGCATTCACGATCGGTATCGATCACCGATTGGCAGAGAAATTTTGCTTTGCATTTCTCGTGAAAGAGAAATTTAGTTTTTATTTTTGACGATTCTTTCGGAAATTGGTACAGCAAATTTTACAAATCTTTGCGAATATCATTCGTAGAAGTTCATAAGTTCATTTCAGTGTCTGAGAAACCTGATTATTGTCGAACGTTCCTGCAAGATAGTCAAATGTCCACCGTGTAGTTACACCGACATACATATGTGTAAATTAAACGTACGGTACTGATGATTTTTTTTTTATAGCGTATTAGCATACTTAGGAGAAATAGAGAACGGTATAACGATTATATTATATTTATTGATCGATTTAGTATTTATTTTCTACGTTTCGGAAGGTAAACACAGTAAATGTATCTTCTGTACTGTACACATACTTTTCGTCTCATGTTTGGTCCTCTGAAGTATATCGGACGAGCAGCCTTAGGGAAAAAAAAAAGAAACACTTTACGGATACAAATATAAAGAACGGAATATATGATCAGACGAAAGATTAATTTAAAGAGTATAGTGCGAAGAAAAGAGCAAGGAAAAAGAAAGGGTTGGAGTGAAGCGAAAACGAGAGAGAGAGAAAGAGAGAAAATGAGAGAGGGGCTAACGGACATCGAACGAACAGGCATTAAAGGGGGAGGGGGCGGGGGATAAAAAAAGAAGAGGGGAAAAAGCGGCGTTAAGACTGTGACTGCAATCATTACCGAGGGGGGGAAAAAAAAGAGAATTCCACAGAGGAAACACATTGCACATCGTATGAAATGTAAAAAAAAAAACGCGAATGCGCGCGCGATTATATATTTACTACTTAACGCCGAGCGAGAAGGGGGGGGTGGATGTGTGTCTCGTCGGCGAGTCGCGGCGAAAAATTTGTTCACGTGCGAGTAGTCTTGTATTTTTTATTATTTTACAATAAGAGCGCGCGCGCGCGCGTGCGCGTCGATCGGGGGTAGGTCATTCCCGACGACGCTTTATCGAAAGGGAGGAACGGGCGCGCGTTTCTCCAGCTTTACGATCCCCTTGGTGGACGAGAGCGCGAACTCTCTCGCGGGGGAGAGAAAAGAAAAAGGGAGCACGCGCTCACCCGTCCCTCCTGGAGGAAGAGCGCCAGCGAGGTGGGATGGCAAAAAAAAAAAAGAAATGTCTTCTAACTTGTTCCGAGCGTTTTTATTTTATTTTTTTCTTCGATTTGGTACACGAGGACGCGCGTCGTGCGCATGTTAATGCCCCGTGGTGGGCTGTGCGGAGGACAGACGAGAGGAAAGAAGTTTCAGTTTCGCTGCGTGCGGCGAAAGGGGGTTGCGCGACCCGGCAGAGCGCGTGCGACGCTCCTCGCGCGTTTATTTAACTTGTAACCGTAATGATACTGCTATTCACTTCACTCGCATGTACGAGCGGGAGGGGTGTCTTTAAAAACGGAACGGTGAACGTACCATTCTGTCGGTCTCTTATTTAATAATTTGCACATTTACACGCGCTAATGTTATACGAGGCGAAATACCGGATATGCGAACAAAGATGAAAAAAGCGAATGTTCCGTTGTACGGCCGTATTTACATATATGTACGTATATATATGTGTGTATGCGCGTGTATATACGCATATACAATGTATACATACGTATGTATGTGCATTGGAATTGCAAATCGATCGAAAACGAGAAGGATAGTGTTCTAAAACGGGAGGAAGGGGAGAGGCGAGGTTGAGCAAGGAGGAAGAAGGGAAAAAGAGTTCATCAGCATGCGTCGTATATTTATTCTTCATTAGCAATAAATCTCCCTGTGCGCGCGTTTCTCTTTTATCCTTTTCTTCCTCCATTTCTTCGATTCCCTCCTCTCCCCTCAATTTTTTCTTTTCGCACATGTATCTCTTGCCCGGCGTAGGCATACGAACGTTATGCTCGTGAAGAATTGATGTAGAGTGTCAATATTGTTACAAAATACCTCATACGGGACGATCACATATTAATTCGATGTTCTTTCATTCGGTGAATTTTCCGTTTATTTATAGTATTATATGCGAAGAGAAGGAAGGGAGAGTGGACAGGAGACTTCTACAAAAATGAATATAATAAAGATTACAAAAGGATCAAGGCGTGTTGGTTTTCTTTCCACTCTTATCCTGCGTGCTCCGACGTCCTTGCATGCCGAAGAAGCTGATTGTAAGTGGATTTATGATAGGCAGTCCTCTGTGCTACCACCCTCCGTGCCGGATGCTGAAAAATCATATATGAGCGACTTGTAATTACGAATCCAATTATTCCTTAGCTAAAATTTGTATTGCGTAGAGGATCTCTAATTAATCTTTAATTTTACTTTAGAATTTTTAATCTTTCCTAATTAATCTCTAGATTCTAGAATATTGAAAATATGTAATAATTGCCTATCTTTAATGGGCGATCTGTCTTTAAAATACCGATGTATGCCTTTTTAAAATGATATACACACATTAGATACGTGTGTTACTTGAAGTAATCAAGTTCAGAGCTTAGATGGCAATTGGCAAGAGTAGGGTAACTGTCCTTATTAGTGTGCTTTTATATTTAAATAAGTCATAAAAATAAACTGTGGTACAAATAAATAGACAAAGTATTTTTTTTAAGTTAATACTTTTACTTAATAAAAAAAAACACTATTTGTACCAGTTTATTTTTAAATAAATAGACAGTGTTTTTTTTATTAAGTTAAAGTATTAACTTAATAAAAAAAATACTTTGCCTATTTATTTGTACCAGTTTATTTTTATGACTTATATAAATGCACATTAAAACGTACAGGCACACTAATAGGGACAGTTACTTTAATACCCGTACTATTTCGGATAGTATTATTAGTTCTTTAACATATTAAAAAATTAGATCAGGTAACAAATTATACATCTAATAATCTTACTTCAAGCAATTCTATTGAATTAATTAGCGATAAAGTAATACCTGCAGTATCTTATGTCAATATGAATAAAATTGTCAATTTTTTTTATTTGACACACGGAGAGGAAGATCGGGAACAATGAATTGTACAGTTAGAAACTGTGCTTTAAGCGAGGTTGATCTGTCGATTGGTTGCCGATAACTTATTGTTAGAATTTAATTGACGTGCGATTCCGAAATCATCTCCCACGCAGTTCGCGCGTGGGTTTCCAATCATTCTCGTTTTCCCCGCGCGGCGCGATATTTATCCCGATCCTGGTGGGAGAGGTGCGATTCGCGGCTACGCCAATCGCATGTGACCACGATCGCAATGGCGGCGTGGCTGGACGGTTTTGTGTTATCGGATGGCTAGGTGTCGATCTGGCGGTGCCGAGCGCGTTTAGTCTCCTTATTTACAGCATAACACGTCGCACGCAGTGGAATCGATTTTTTTTCATCCCCCAGTCATGTACAGTCTTCTGATAGTGGCACTGCTGGATATAACCTTCGACGGTACGTGCTACCCCTAACCTTTTCCGCTTCACCCTCGAATAATCGGGGAGTCCGTCTCCGTTTCCCCCCCGTGCGCGACCGATAACGCTATTTTCTTTCCCCAGTGGTTGGGAGTGTCTCGCAAGCGGAGATCAATAAACATCTGGAGTATGGCAGGGAGTTCCTGGCGAAGGGCCAGCTGCAGGATGCGCTGTCGCACTACCATGCAGCCGTCGGTAGGTTTGAATCGCGAATTTTCACGGCGTGAACTTCCCGACCCGGTCTTTCGAAAGAAGAAACGTAACGGACAAGAGCGGAGTCTCTCGCTCTGACAGCTGACCTCGCCTCGTTGTTCGGTCGAGAGGCGGAGAACGCGAGATTCAAGGGGCGAATTTTCTTTCAGAGGGGGACCCGAGCAACTACCTGACGTACTACAAGAGAGGCACGGTTTATTTAGCGCTGGGCAAAGCCAAATTCGCCCTCCTCGATCTCGACAAGGTTCTGGAACTGAAGGTGGACTTCACGCCAGCGAGACTGCAGCGCGGTAACATTTTACTCAAGCAGGCTCACTTCGACGAGGCTGAGGACGACTTTCGCGACGTGGTAACGTCATCCTCTCGTTTGCACTATGTTTTTTTTTTTTGTACGCGTTCTGCATACAGTTCACTCTCGCGCGCAGAGTTGACTCACGTCGCTTCCTCTTTTTCCTTTCCAGCTAGCGTTAGAACCAAATAATAGGGATGCCTTGAATGCCTTAGATAGGTTATACCCAGCTAGAGAAGATATGAAATTAGTCGATATATTAGTGTACAACGGCGATCACGTAGCGGCCGTGCAGCAGATCACTCGACTCATCGAGATATGCCCGTGGTCCCCGTATCTCAGAGAACGCAGGGCGGAGAGCCATGAGGTCCTTGGTGATTACATGAGCGCGATATCCGACATACGCTCGACTACGAAATTGCTGTCCGACAATACGGAGGGCTTCTTCAAGCTGTCGACGTGGCTCTACCGTCTCGGGGACGTTGACGAGGCATTAAAGTGAGCGATTAATCGTTAGAATAGACGCCGAACAGTCTTTTACGACTCGGCTACTAATCTGGCTAATAAATGTTTAGGGAGATTCGAGAATGTTTGAAGCTCGATCCGGATCACAAGCAATGTTTCCCCTTTTACAAGAAGATTAGAAAGATAAAGAAGTTGCTGCAGGACGCGGAGACCGCGCTGGAGGACAAGGATTACGACGCGTGCATCGAGTCAGCCCGTCGTGTGCTGGCGCAAGAGCCGAGCGAGGCGAAGGTGCAATTCACGGCTTATCATTATCTCTGCAGATGTTACACGGAAAGTTCCGAGGCAACTCATGCGATCAGTAATTGCCAAGAGGCGTTAAATATCAGAAGGGAGCCGGGCGTGCTGTGCGACAGCGCAGAGGCGTATCTTGCCGCGGAAATGTTCGACGATGGTAATTTAATCTTTTATACATTTTTATAGTATGGAAGTATATACAGAACTTTCCACCACTTTACGATTCGTAACGTAATGAACAAATTTTTTTTCTTCCCTCCCGACAGCCATCAGGGATTTCAAGGAAGCGTTGGAGATAGACTCAAACTTCCAAAGAGCCAAGCAGGGGCTGCAGAAAGCGCAGCAACGGCAAAAGCTGTCGGAGTCGCGAGATTACTATAAGATCTTGGGTGTCCCGAGAAATGCGAACAAACGGGATATCATCAAGGCTTATCGTAAAGCGGCGCAGAAGTGGCATCCCGACAATTTCCAGGAGGGCGACGAGAAGAAACGCGCGCAGAAGAAGTTCATCGACATCGCCGCCGCCAAGGAGGTTCTCACGGACGACGAGAAGAGGGCGAAGTTCGATCAGGGCGAGGATCCTCTGGATCCGGAATCGGGCCGGCACCAGCAGGGCTTCAATCCCTTCCAGGAGTTCCACCACTTCCACGGGTCTCCCTTCCAGTTTAAGTTCCACTTCAATTAAACCGCGCCGCAGATAATCGTCGTGTGATACGAGGAATCGCCAGTTCTTCGAACTCTTAACGCGCGCGCGCGTCCGTCGCTTCGTCCGCGACGGTATATTCGCGGACTTCACTTCGCTCTAGCCCGAATTTAATTTTGCTACCTCGTCGATGGAGATCGCACGTGTTTAAATCCGTTCCGACGGACCTCGGGAGATTCTTATATGTGTATAAATTGTGTCGACGTGTCGATAAACAGATCAGTGGCCATTTCGCGACACACCGGGCAACGTAATTATCTCGGCACGTATCTCTGATAAGGCGCGAAGATTATATAGATGTAATCGTCCGCACTAGTTCGTCTATTGCAAAAAGAAAAAGAAACTTGTATACAGTACTCTTTAGTACATGCAGACTGACCGGTGAGTAATAATCCAATTCGATTCACACACAAACGTTTGTCGCGTGTAATTTTATCGACGCATTGTACCCGACCTGTACACGCTATACTAGTAAAATCGTGATTATTTCCTACGTGTCCGTAATAACGGAGGGAATGTACAGTGATTCATCACACTGCCACTGATTGCTTCAGCGGCTGTTCGGTTTTTTTTTTTTTTTTTTTTATTTAGCTTTGAGAACGTGCGACAACCTCGATCGAATAAGTCCGAGGGACGTTATGCCTTTATCGAGTACGACACGGTCGAGTCGGTATATTTATATCACTACTACTTTACGGAATTTCGTACTCGGTAATGTTCAAACGATGTGTAGAGAACAATGCTGTGCGCTTGTCATGTTTGCGTGTGTGTGTGAGTCAGACCTTCATGTAAATACTGTATTTCTGATATTTGTTTAAATATATATTTGAATAATTTATACAGATACTTCGAAGGCATTATTAGTGTTGTAAAGAAAGCAACTCTTTTTCAGTAATAAAATATCGAACTCTCTGTCGTTTGTCCAGGCACTGAAGCCCTCTGGTTTACTTTAAGATTATTTTCTTCTTAGTCTTTTTTTTTTTTTCGTCGGGCCTTTTTTTTTTCTTAATTTATTCCGCTTTTTCAGCCGTTTCCACAGATCTTTGTACTGTCCTAATTGCTGCCTCACCATGTGACCTCTCCATGTCGATTGGATAACGGTTGCGGCTTTATTTAACTTCTCTTCTTCCTTCAATCTTTCCTCCTCGGCGATACATTCTTCGATAAATTTCTGTCGTTCGTCCATTGAAGCGTGCATTTTTTCCATTTCTAATTTTTGTTCTTCTATTAATCTCTATTAGCGAATCAACATTATTATTATTCAAAAGTTCTATCCTCTGTATCATGTCTTATTATACGAAGCAACTCATTTTCCTTTTTTTTTCTTTCGTTTTACTTATATTTTATATAAGTTTATTTGTTAATATATTTATCTTTAGTTAAATATATACATAAGTATATTGCACGGATTATATTATTTATATTTATTTATTCGACTACTCTTTATTACGTCAATTTTCAGATGAATACCTTCAACTCATCGATTTCCTGCTGTCGTTCCACAAGATCCTCATTATATTTCTTCGTCCACATGTCTATCTGCTCTTCTTTCTCCTTGATGTCCGCTTCTAAGTGAGCATTCATCTCAGCCGAGATGATCTGCTCCGCATTGTATTCCTTCGAATATTCGCTCAGCTTGTTCAATATATCTTTCTTTTGTAGTTGCAGTTTGACCTCCTGCTGCTCCAATCTGGCTTTCGCCCATCTTTCCGCGTAGCCTGTGTGCAATGTATACTCGATCAGAACACCAAGAAGCGCATTTCACATGGATCGTGCGTTACCCAATTTTCCGCTGCTCAATAATAACGCGTGATCGACTTGCGCGTCGCTTTCCTGCGCGAGTTTTGTCGTCCTCTTCGTGTCTTCCTCGTTCGCCTTTTTGTCGGATTCCAACAGTTCTCGGAATCGCTCAGCCTGGCTGAGCCACGTCTGGGCCTTCTCTTCGAGTACACGTTCGCCTTCCCGTTTTCTTACGATCTTATCAACCTCTTCTTTCAGACTGTCGAATCTTCCATAGTTTTTTACTTCGTGAAGGACTTTTTTGAGGACCTCGCACACGTAGTTTCTAAATGCATATTGATTGGAGGGGGGGGGGGGAGCGAATGCAAAGTGATTGTCTGCATTTTTTTTCAGATTTTTACTTCTATAGCAGGATAATAAGAAAATATACCAAAATGACATTTTTTTCGTGAAAAATTGTAACACAAAAAAATCTCTTGAAATAATTACCTTTCTGAGATCATATGACGTTTTTTTTAAAGGGATTTTACATACTTGTTACATACAGTTATACAAAGCAATAGAATGTAGAGTATATTTTCGTATAAGAGTTATAATAAACCATGTATGAGGGTGTGTTTTTACGCACCTGTCCCTCTGCATTTTTTCAGTCTTCGTGGATACGAGTGGTAACAGGTCCATGTCTTCTCTGAAGATCATTCCAGGTTCATCAGGCACTCCGTACGTCTCGTCGATTGTCTTGATCGTGTCGTCCCAGCGTGGATCGACGTGGGCCGGTATCATGAAGCCGATTGTGGTGAGTTTAGCCAAACACTCCTCGAGCATGGAGGATACAGCGGCCGCTTCCTGCGGCGTGAACTTCCATTCTTCCATTTTCGCACTTCCCATGTCATCTTCCGATACTTTCGACGACGGTGTGTCCACAGGCGATTCCGGAGGTTGTAAAGGCTGGGTTCCAGGCTCGGTGAAATGTACTGACTAAGTAATAAGAGTATCAACCTCAGATTTAGATGATCTACAATATTTTTGTGTCGTTTTTTATTATTCTATTTTATTTTATATGGTAAAATCTGTGTATATTCTAATCCCTTCGATGCTTCCTGTATTTATAGTTAAATTAATTTTAACAAATTGTTCGCGCATATCAATAATGTTATCTTACTGTTTTATCTTTAATATCCATCTTAGAGATTTTTTCTAAATTTTGAATAAACTGGTCAGTAGACTCTTTGAGCGTTTTCTCGATGATACGTTCGCTCGTTGACGAGTCATCGACGTGGATGACGTTTCTACGAGCTTGCTGAAGAGTTATCGACGATAATCTATTCAGCGCGATTTCCTTTGGAAATGCTTGCTGGTTTCGAGTTATTTCCAGTTCACTTGCCGTCATATCGGGGTGTGCTAAAATAGCACGTTATGCACATAGCGTTTTTATATAAAACACGATTTTATATAAAACACGAAATAAAAAGAGAATTAATTAATACAACTAATTTAGTGTTTAAATATTCGCATATGATATTTATTAATTTGATATAGCTGAATATATATACTATTTAATCTCACTTTCTCTTAAGTTATGATAGTACGAATCGAGAATACATGTTCTATCTACATTAAAAATTGCTGTCAGTAATTTAACCGTATTTTTACGAACTTTATTATTGTTACTTTCTGTTTCTTAGTTTTTCTCGTCAAGTAGAATATCTGCCAGAAATATACAGAGCGTGAGTGCACAAAATATTGGCACTGAAATCTTTGGTTTAATCTCTGCCCAAGTCATGTTGCTGAATTTTCGCCGTGTCAAATTCGTGAAGGTTTGAAAGTGTAGGCAATTTGGAAACAAAGAAAAATCAGTAGATATGAACGTGACAGACAGGAGGGTTGAAAGATGATTTTTTTTTCTTGATGTTTACATACAATATCATCAGTTGTATTGAAAATAAAGATATATTTAGCAATAATAATACATTTCGTCTGCAGATGCACTAAACAAATATACTTTAGTATTTTTCATATAAATATTTAAATATTTTTGAACACACGATTATCTTAACGACTATATTTTTGAATATGCTGAAGATCCGGTAATTGAGTATCATGTCATTCTATAAAGAATATGATTAAATCTCTACATAATATATACATAGAATAAATTCTTTTTACATTGATGTGTTTAAACTTTAAATATATACTTTCAACACATATTTTCATGTCAAAAAGAAATAAAATTATAAGGAACGACATAGGAAGCTAATATCAATATCAATATAATAATATCAATTAAACTGCAATTTTTAATTTGATTTATAAATTCTGATTGAAAATTAAATTGCATGCGCGCGATACGTTTGTACTTGTTCGTCTAGATATGTGGCATATTCATAAATATATTACAAGTCAAATTTTAAATTCATTATATAGATTAACGATGAAATATCAATCTCTTTGCAAAAATAATTGAATATCGACATGATCTTAATTGGCATCCTCTTCAAAATTCATATTTCATTCTAATTACGCAAAAGCGCATTATCTTTTTACCTTACGTAATTTACGAAAAATAAATTCTAATTAAATCTCAAAATATTCAACGAGTCTCCGTAGTTCAATAATACTTTACGTATAGCTGCTCGACTTTCGCGCCGTTTCCTATTCTATGCATTTTGCTCCTTACAACGTGATGTATCACACTTAATTTTACATAATACGGCTATTGTCATGGTAATAACAATAACGTAAGAGTCTTCGTGATCTATATATGCCCGTCCGTTTTATCACGTTTACATATATTACATTTCGATGCAGATTACCTGTAACTACGTGGCTGTAAAAGCGCATTAACGTTGATCGATATAGATTTACATTGCATGTACGCGTAAATTATGCATGCATATCTAATAATAAGGCGGAAGTATTTTGCGCGGAACTAGCAATTCTCTGTTACGAAGGCTTTATGACGTCGAATATATCAGGCCTTTTCTCATGCTCGAAAATATACTGTTTCTCTTCGCGAAATTTGATTGTACGCTCTAAAACTACTTACATAAAGGAACAACGAATACCTCTAAAAACATAGACGTTTTATACGAAGTAGCTAGTGTACTCGTGAGGCATCACACCTCTCCTAGGATAAAACGTGTGACTTGTGGAGTATTCTAACAGGTTCGTGATCGAGCTCATGTAGATGTCGGCGAATCTAAACAGTCTTCTGGAGAAGTAAGTCGGATTGTGATATGTTCTGAACACCGAGCCGAATTGTTTGTTGAAGACAGATTTAATCTCGTTTCTCAACTCATCCCGTTCCCTCATCCACTCGTCCAGCTCATTTTGCACCTCAGGTCCTTCATAATCCTGATGTTCCTCAACTAGACCGGTTAACATCTGGAGCCAGTTCGCGTTTTCTTTGAACTTCGGGTCATTCAGGGTTTCGATTTCGTGCTGTAATGCAATTCACCATTTATGTATTGTATGTTACATATTAAATTCAGTGTATTAATTTTTTTACATTTTTTTCAAATTAGTTTCATATAAAAAAGGTAGATTCTTGAAAATTTTATTTAAAAAAAATTACCGTCAATTCCTTTATTATCGCCCCCGTTCGCCAGCCATGCTCTAAAGTCACATCCGCCAGGTCGCTGTATGGATGATCGCCAAAGTACAGTACTTGATGCCCTTGCCATCCGGTCATATCTTGCAACTGCTTAACTGTTCCCTAAAATTTTTCACGGTTAATAAATACGTGTAATATTTTGCACAGTACATTTGATATGCGCATATGATTTTCCAGAATATCAAAATAGAGAATCACCTCAAGATATATGACACCCTGATTGAGTTTAGTAACCCGGTCCCACAATTGCGTCTGTTTAACTTCGTCGTAGATTCTCAAGGGACGCGTTTCTTCGGTGAAGAATCTTGGTTTTCTCGCTTGTACGATCACCACGTCGAAGTAATTCTTCCAATTTTCGCCGACCAGAAATTGCATTCCTTTGTTACTGCAAAAACGATGGTAACAATTGTATAATAATTGCGCATAATGGATTCCTATTTAAGTTAAGACTGTCGAGACTCGAGAAACATACACGAAATGGAAAGGACTGTTTGTAACCAGGAACATCTTCTTGCCGGCCTTTCGAAGGCGATCGAAAAATCTCCTCAAATCTTTATTCTGTTCCAGGTATTCGGACACGTTTTCCACTACTAGTTGATGCATTATAGGATGGCAGCTTTGCACAGAGTTCTATAAATATCGTGTAAAATTCATTACAAAAGCAATTAGCAAGATTATCCTTTGACTCAGCTCACCTTAACGTCTCTAAACAGTATCTCCGGATGGTAATCAATGTGATTCTGTAGAAAATACTCCGTGACGTTGCATAACAAACTCATTTCCGGTACCGAAAACAAATCGGCTAATTGCACCATTTTCGAGCGATGTAAAGCATCCTAGACAAAATAAATGTCAGAATTTAGAATATTTTCAAGCATTTTACATCGCGAAATTTAAATGTACTTGCCTTCTGCATACCGTGATCGAAGCAATTCATCAAAAACATACATGTTGATACATGCAAAAATAGAGGAGAGAAATTTAATACATATTAAAGATTTTTAATTTACAAATGGAAACGTACAAATCGTGAGAAATGCCGTTGTTTTTCTTTTTGAAAGAGAGAAGATCCGAGAGAAAAAATGTTTCTGACGTTTAGAAGAATGATTAAAAGCAATTTGTTAGCATAGCTGTTTAGTTACGCGACAAATCGTACCGTCAATGTTTGGAAATTGCGAAATATTTTACATCTCGAATTTATTGATTTTAAAATCATGCGTTGCTCGTTTCCTTATTAAAAAAAGAAGTAACATGTGCATCAAGCAAGCCTTCAAGTGCAAACTTATTAATTTTCCATCTCATCGAAGTTCCGCACGATAACGAACTTACGTGAGAGTGTTTATGGGGCGCCTCCACGTAAGCTATCGGTATTATCCTGTTCTTGTAGATTCGAAGGACCTCCTCGTCGGGCATGGGATGCAAGCCACGATAAACGGCGCCCAATTGAATTTGCAAGAAGCTGTCGAGCTTCAGCAGGAGACCCTTCTCGATGTCGTAATGGAGGCCGCGGACGGCGAAATTTTCTCTGTACTCCAGATTGGCAATCCCCTCAGGATACTGGAATAATTAAACGAGTTTCAGCGAACTTCAAGATGAAATTCTAATCGGCCTGTAATTGTCCTTTGATTTCGGGAGAAATTTGAGCTGGCCTTTAAGATGAAGGTAAGGCTTTGCGTACTTTTATCTACATTTAGTTATTTTACCTTCCGCTATTTCTAGAGCAGAAATTATATTCGACAATTAAATAATGATTTTTTTTCTCTCAAAAAACGATGGATGTTGGAAAAGCGCGACGGAAAATATATTTCTTCTATTAATTACCAAACGTATTCGATCAAAGGCAATTTAATCAATATTTTTTTCATTCATTATAAAACACTACTATATCGTGTATCGATTTGACTGTATATAGCAAGGGAATTTATTACAAAGTAGAGACCTTGTATTTTTTAATGAGCATGTCGCGTCCAAGGTTGTAAAGCAGGTAGTCCATAGACGGCTTATAGCACGCCAGCGTGTAATCGTAATCGAATCCATAGACCTGGACCTCCTTCAAGTCGAGCTCGTTGCAGGCGAACACGCCCTTGGGATTCACATCTTGCGGCAACTTTTTCGCTATAAAACGAACGTAAAAAATAAAAATGCGACAATAAAAATTAATCCGGGGATTCTGAGAGGTAGAGAAAGAGGGTGGCGGGAGGGACGTCTGATCTAACGTATACGATAAGAGAGTCGAATCCGGCGCGGTACACGACGCGCGCGGCGAGGGACGTCGCGCGCGGCTCCGCGCGCGTCTCCGAGAATTGGAGAAGCGGATCGGGTATATCGCTCGCGTCCGATCTTAATTTCGCGCGAGCTCGGAGCCCTCAATTGGACTGAACTACAGTTATTACTCCTCCAGACCTAACTGGCGATCAATTCGTGCGTCGGGTGCTCCCGTTTCGTTCTATAGATGCGCCGCGATACAGGCCGATTTTCACTGTCCTAGATTTTTCTGCCCGCGCGGCACATTCGTCCGCTCCGCTCCTCCGCCGTCCTGTGCCGTGAGAGACCGATCTCCGCGATCTAAAATCTAATCCGTCTCCGCTCTCGTTGGGCGCCCTCCTTTACGCCGGGCTTTTCGTCAGGCGGATTAATTAATTAAGACGAACGCGGGAATGTCGGGTGAGCCGAGAGAGAGAGAAAGAGAAAGAGAGAGGGGGGGGGGATGCGGCGGATACTCATCAATAATTTATGTACTTTTCCTGTTCGTTCGCTCGCTCGCTCAAATAACTTGCCCCGCGACGCGGCTACGGCCGCACGTTATCTCGCGGGCTGTCCGATCGCGGCGATAAATACAGCTACGGCTCGTAACTTTGCCAATGCACAGGCCCGGAGGGGTATTTAATATTAAAATTTTGAGGGACCGTGTGGCACGTTTTATCAGGTTGTTTCGCGCTCGACAAATTTATATGAATGCGCATCGGTCCGTTTCTTTCTCTCCCGGTCATAATGCATCTCTCTCCGTTTCCTTAAATTATTTCGAAGCTTCGCGAATTTATATGAATGACAATATATATACATTTCGCATATGACAAATATACATATTTCGCTAATTCCTGCGATTACAAGTAATAAGCGATATACTCATCGCTTGTATTTGTACGTGTGTATAATAATGCACACGGGAGAACTTTACGTATTTTTTGATTGGAACGATTTGCATTTCGGATCGCGCCAAGAGAAAAGAACATTCTCTCTTTTTTTTCCTTTTCTTTGAATATTTGTTCCTAATATGTGACCTCATTGTTCTACCAATTTTCTTTTTTTAAAAATAAAAAAGAACAATCGCGAGGATGCAGTTAGCGGATGTTTGTCTTTCAAGAATCGCCTCGCGAATAACAGGAAAAAGCTAATCGCGCACGCCAGCTCGAGCGGACGACACGTGTCGCGTCATTCGAGTAGCTCGGATGCCTGGCGACCGGCCAGACGTGGATGGCAAATTTCACATCGCATACGTAATCGCGCGTACATACATATACGTCTCTCGTCAAAACTTTGCGCTCGAGAGAGAGACTCAATCGGATCCTGTCACCGCGTCCCCGCCGCCGCGTAAACGGTGCATCGCCACTCTCGGCGCGGGGGGGCTCCGAGAGGACGATCGATCCGCATGCCAATAATTCGCTCGGCATGCGCGCCGAGTCAAGGTCGCGCGCGCGCACGTGCCCTAACGAACACGCCGGGCGCATGCGCGGCAACCCTCGCGCGCGCGTGTGTGGGAGCGAGCGAGACCGACGTATGTACAACGTCACCAGGAGCACCACACAAGCGTACCCGGGGGGTGGACACGAAGGCAAGTGTCGCCGCGACCGACGCGACACTGGCATGGCCGCAGCAGACCGCGCGAGGGGGACGTTGACCACTCACACTTGCACTTGTCGAGCATCCTCAGGTAGTTCTCGCGCATAACCTCGCGCGACACCTGACCGCGGTTGAGGGCGCGATCGCCTATCGCGCGTCCGGACGTTCCGTGCGGCCCGGGGAGCAGCCGCGTCTCGACGACGCGGCGCGACGCCGTGACGATCCTCGCGTGCAGCATCACGGAAGATTGGCGCCGCCAGGCGCGCGACGCAGGCCACCACCGCGCGGCGCCGCGCGGCCGATTTGAATCGGGCCGCCCGGGCGCAGCCGTCGCGCGCCTCCGCTTCGTCCACGAACGTGGCGATTTTAACTAGACCGCGAGCGCGGCTGACGCGCAATGCGATTGGCCGCACCGCTCGGCCGCTGACGCGCAATGCGATTGGACGTTGGGCTCGCGCGTCCTCGTTCGCCATTGGACGGCTGGGGATCGCTCTCCTTTACCGTCTTCAGCGCGCCCGTGCGACACTCCGTTCAGCCGTTCGTTGCGTTCGTGACTGACTTCGCCGATGGCGGGCGTCGTTTCGTACGCCTTGCGAAACGCGCGTTTCGTGCGCGATATATAGATCGAGCGAGATTTATATAATAGAAGGGTTATTTGAGCGTGTTAACTGCTATTTATACTCAATGAATTTAAACGAGACACATTGCGTTCGCGACGACGACGTTCTTTCGAAATCGTAGCGCCTCTTGCACGAGTATACGGAGAGTATTTATACGAGGCGACTATTACGAAGGTATGATGTTTCAAATGTATAAGAGAAAGAAATATGGCAAAATTTTCTATTGGGCAGATATTAGCTTTGATTATTAAAAATGCAATTTTGAAGATTCTTACTACACGAGATTGAACATTTCGAGATCTCACTTTATATATAATAATTAATTGCGTAAACTAACTTGTGTTTTTTATATTGCGTTTGTAAAGCAATTCTAAGACGCTTCAGCTGATCTTCAGCAATTTATCTCAGATATCAGAATAGAATTTAATTAATACTATTTTATTTATACACGGAGAAAATTTGTTTTTTAAATTTACTCTGCAAATCAGTTAATTGTGGAACAATATATTATTTAGGCAAATTTTACTGTGCACTGCAATAAATTTTATTGTATTTTACTACTGTAAAATTTATTGTAGTGCACAGTAAAATTTGTCTAATACTATATTGTCTCATAATTAACATGATTTGCAGGGTAAATTAAAAAAAAATTCTCTCCGTGTAGGTATTATATATGTATAATTTATTATTAATAATTAATATATTATTACGTAGTATATTAATTAATTATTTATTGATATTGCTGACGTGTGTTCTAATTTTCCAATTGTTTTTCTTACTATACGGCATATAAGTTACAAATTGAATTTTATTCTACATTCTAACACCAGTTGTAGTGTCTAATTAACGGATTTAAGTGAATTGCGAAACGGATTTTTAAGCGACTTCATCGCAGTTCGCATCGCTGATAGAATTGTGACGAAATATCCTATTAATCTATCGATAATATCACTAATTACCGTAACAATCACACTCTTTATTCTGTACGTCCTCGTTGCGCGTATCTCTCTTATTCGACATTCGATACTTGGATATATAACTTGTTCAAACACACGCTCCATTTTCTTCGTTTTATCCGCGAGTCACACAAGTCGACTTCAAGCTGTTAAAATAATGCGTGCGATCCACCGCGATTACGTGACGATTAAACGACTCTTAATTAGAGCCGAACATTCGAAACGCCCGTCTTTAGAAAGCTCCGATGGTATACCCCGCCCTGCACGGGATCTGTATTCCGAGAGGCGATTGTTTCTCTCCCCCGTTGCTTAATATTTACCTCGTGTTAGGCCCGATAAATGGGTTAATTGCCGCACACGAGCCCCCTACCTCGGCTGCGTGATTTGAATATACGTGTCGCGTCGGTCCCATGAGTTTCTCTCGCCGTAAGAGGTAAATACACCCGCGTTGTACTAACGGCGCTCGCCCAAGGCGTGCGCGTCCCGTGGGTTGCGCGGGCGACGTGTACGGGGGACATTCCGGGATGCTTAGGCACACTTGGCACCCGATTCTAATCGCGAGAGAGATTTGCGCGATTTAATCGCCGCTCCCAAGTCTGCAGGTACCGAGGAACCCCGGGCCGATTCTGCACGCCTCCGCATTCAATAGGCGCCACGATGAATCCGGTCGATGGTGTGATTAACGATCGTCCGGTCGTGTCGCTCGTCGTGTCCGTTCGATCCCCGTCTTCTGCATTCGCATTCTGCGTCGCTGAAAGCATCGAGTGAAACAATAATAGAATGTTTTCGATAAGAAGCACGCAAGCATTGCTTAATTATGAAGGAATAATTCGTAATTTCCGAGTGTTTTACGTGACGATTTTTTGACGATGCAAAAATACGACTGGATATTAGATAAAAATTGTAAAGAAAACATTAAGCTGATGCAAATGATTTGTTATTTTTATCGAGCTTTCTGTTAAAATTAGAAAATTCTTTCAAAAGAGAAATAAAAAAAATGTCGGATGAGAAAGAGAAGTGGGCGAAGGCAATTTTGAACTCCAGTTTTGTACTGAAATTTAATTTCCAATTCTATTTGACGAATGTGAAAGATCCTACACGCACGGATCTAATACTTCGTGACGTGAGGTTTCCTTTTTAGTCTTTTTTTTTTGTCTCCAATGGCGATAGTAATATCGGCGCAACGTCAGCGGTTCGCGCGCCGCCGGTGTGCGATTAAAGGAGGAAATACCGCGTCATGAAGCTAATAATCTCGTCGAATAACAGCGCCTTACGCGATATCCAAAAAATGATTATTCACTGCTCGCTGATTGATGGGATGTCGAAAGCTACAATTTTCTAACATCTCTCACGTATAACCATTTCTGCCGCCACCGGCCGGCACGCGACCTCGTTGCCTTAATCTAAACTGTGGTCTTCGATCCTCCGGTCGTCGTACTTCTTCCGATAATACGCCCGGATACGTATCGCTCCCTTTTCCCCGCGTTATCTCGAGCGATCGATTATCTTGCCGGGCGCGATGTATCTATTATATATATATATATATATATATATGTCGCGGCGCGTTACATAACATTTTCCCGCATTAATCTCGGTGTGCGTGGCGCTGCCGCGGGTGTCCCGGGTGATAAACAAGCAAACACGCGGAAATATGTGTATGCAGCAATACGCAATACGTAACATATTACCGTACACTTTCTCCCGTGATGATTTGAAAAAATTGACATTTAAATAAATAATTTTTTACGCTATATTCGCAAGCGCGCATTTCGCGCATAAATATTCTCTCGTTTTTATTTTTACGGAGGGCCTTCCCCTCCCGCACCCCGCCCCCGGTCAAAATGACGCGGATACAATTATGGATTTTTGCGAGAGCGGCTTTACGAACTATTGGTCGTCGAATTTGTACTTCAAATATACAATTCCGCGGGACAATCGAATTTGACGTTGTAACAAAGTATACATGCACCGCCGCGATATTCTCTGTAAAATTTCCCACACGTATCCCGGGATGTCCCCGAGGCGTTGAATACACATCCCGCTGCCTGCGTACACTGTATTGACAGTTTCAACAGAATCAACGTGCGCGAGCGCGCGTTGTTGCTGCTGAAGGTAGTCCGTACATACGGGCGATCGCCGATTTCATATCCGCAAATATTGTGTCATGTTAAAAATAGCAGCTTGACTTTCCACTCCTTTACGGAGGGCAAGTTATAGTCGCTCCGCGTACTTTCTACGTAATTCGACGCCTCTCACCGGTGACTCCACCCTTCCGTCGTCAATTATTTCCGATTAACGTCAGAGTCCGGCATTTCCGGCAGTCTTAATCCCCCTCCCCCTCCCCTCCGTCTGTTATCTCTGCCCCGGATAACGCTAAGTACGACGGACGTCGTTTTAATTTATCGGAGACTTGTCGAAGAAAAAAAAATGTATTGTATTGTCTCGAAAAGGACGCTCGTCTCTCAAGAGATCGAACTTGAACAAGATTTCTCGAGCGACCTACGAATGCCGTTACGAATGAGTCTTTCTTTTTTTTTTTGATCGAATTACTTGCGTTGCAACGCTGGTTATATCACGGCGATACTATGCTATCGCATAGACGTAACGAGTTATGCGAGCCGGGATTATGCTAATTAACTGATAATCACGGTCGCAATTTCCAACCTGCATTAATCTGTTACTTAATGGTTCACACTAATTTTAGCTCGCGGCCATTAAGCCGATACACTTCTTCGCGGATCGTCGAATTTGCGGCGGTAGGTACATATACTCGGGCCACAACGCGTCCATTAATTAAGCGGGGAAATAAACGAGCGAGAGTCACGGATAAGATTCAGCCAACTGGTTTAAGGCTAGCCTGCAGCCTTTTTCTTTTACAAAAGCGGCAGTAATTCTCTATAGCTATCTACGGGATTACTTTTCCGCAATCGTAAATTTTTATTGACCACGAGCCCACCCGCAGCTCGTGAGCAAAGTGCCCCCTTCAAAAGTTGAATGAGGAAGAGACAATGTGTCGTTAGGACTCGATGACTTTCTCAGGCCTGGTTTAAACGTATCGGAAATTTCGAGCGAAACACTGCACGATGACGGAACGCGGCGCGATTCCTATATTCACCTATGCGAATAATGTAATTGGAACATTTCAGCCGGAAAACGATGTTTTTAAGATTTTCTCATGAATGCGCGCGAATCGCGTGTGCGCGCTTCCTGCGTAAACGAAGCCGCGCTTCCCATCACACGGATGACTTCCTGGCTCGGTTTTTTTTTATCGCGCCCGCCTCTCAGCTTCTTATAGTTTTCTAACAATCGCTCGTATTTGTCTTCCCGTAGACAAAGGTTAATTGCAATCAGAGAGGGACCGTGTTAACGACGTCTGGGGACTCCGTGCTCGCGAGAGGTGATTTTCTCCGTTTGCGACAATGAAATGTAATCTAAGGCCGGGCTAATGGCGCGAAATGCGTTTAAGGTAGACAAGTTTTTTTTTTTTTTTATTTAACTCTAAGCTGGAAATGATCGGTGGAAAACACGAAACGCTTTAACATTTGATACAAATACCATCGAGATATTTTGAATAAAAAAAATAAAATAAAATAAAAATAAAAAAGAAATCGAAAAAAATCCATGAAAGATAAAAAGCATAAAATGCACGCTTTAAAGCACAAAATAAAATCGCGTTGATAAAGTGTACGGCCCGTGCCCACTTTCCCGTGCGTCCTATGACGAATATTTCAAAAATAAAATTTGATGTTTTTTTTCTCTCGATTTTCAAAGCTACACCCGCGAATGATCTACAGCACACCGAGTTAAACTCTGTTTACAACCGTATAACTGTTACATGAAATTTTTAATGATCGGGACACGTACCGTGCATTCCGCAATTCTTCAATATATATATACCGCTCCGAGAGGCGGCGTAACACCGTGATACAGAAACTCATTTCGCTATATACATAGGTATGTCTGTTCGTTAGGGGGGCTCGCAATTAAGCGCTATTATAGATCGCTAGATCGTCTCGGTCCTAAGCTCATCCTCCGCGAAGCGGGCATACGGGAAATTGCTTTAGAATTCACGTGTAATTAATAACTTTTTTTTTCTACGGTCTAACTCTGAATGCGCGCGCGGCACATATATATATATATAGGATCAGACTGCGGAGACGCACGGGCGCGCGCGCGCGCGCGGCGCGTATGCGAGCGTGTGCGCGCAAACGGCAAAGGTGGCGAAGAACGCAGATTGCTAAAGGCGCTGTTCCGGTGACCTACTCCGCGATTATCACTCACTGCGGCCGATCGTCGATGCAAGTGCGTGAGCGTTAACTAGTGTTGCCAGCTACACCGCGCGCCACGAGAAAAGGAGGACGCGCCGCGCCGCGCCGCGCCGCGCCGCGCGGGGACGCGTAATCGCGTAAGTGTCGTCACGAGTCGTCTCGTTTTTCGAGCCCTTTCCCGGCGCGCGATTCCCGAGCAGGTGCATTGAACCGAACGTTTTCTGTCCGGGCCGCGATTTGCTTTTATGACCTTAAGCGCGAAATTACCGTGTGACTTCCACTGTCACGCACTGCAATTAATTTCTTTTGGCTTGTGACACACATAACGTGCTCCTTCGCGACAACTGTATATATATTAAAATGAAATAAATAATGTCCTGGGTAATGGGATTAATATTGCATTATCTAATAAAACGTTTCCGCGTAGCAATTTACTTCGACTATCGTTGAAATTTATAGCAGTTTCCTATGGATGTTATCACTTCGTTTCGAGTTCCATTTGATGCAACAAGTTCAATTGATTTCAGTTCTATAATTTTGAAAATCCCTTCCAATAATTACCTCGGAAATTTTATGGCTTACTCATTAACTCGTCAGTTCATTAAAATAGATTCTTGAACAATTTCGTTGGATAAAATTTTTTGGGAATCTCGCTGATGAGCGCTGATATTCTTTCAACTTCCGAAGACGATACACAAATTTGTCGAATCGTGGTGTGAATTACGACATGTACATGAATCAAGTTGATACAAAAAAATAAATTATATTGCATCTCTCATTACCTTTCGCCTCTCATTATTAAGCGAATGATAAATCCGGATCGGCCGGATAACTATATAAATACCGGCGGTATCTGGCAAGTGTCCGCGGAGAAAGTATGGCCGATCGAACGATGCTGCGATCGATCCCGGGCGGCAAAGCGTGACCGATTCGCGAATCGAATGTATACTCCTTGATCGCAAAATGCTTTTTGCTCGTTCCACGTTTATCCTACACGTTCTTCCACACGTTTACCGTAACCGTTAATTTCTTGTTTCTCTTTTTTTTTCAACACAGCTGTTGCAAAATATGCGCGATAGCACTCTGAAGCACGACGCTATTTGCGTATATCTTTTTATCGTCCCAAACGTTAAAATGTTATTAACTAATGCGTTAAAGGCACATAAATTAGCTAGTATTAGATGCGAATGTCCGATACATGGTGATACGACGATGGAGCAAAAAAAAAATTGTTAAATAAATACGACATACTTCTGTCGAATATTCGGCAAATGAGGGCGTTGTTTGGAGCCTACTTAACATATATTTTTAAGTTGTTTGCACAATCGTGGCCGCGACTTTCTTATCGTGACGTCATACATTTATCGCGACTCGGTGTGCGTCTGTGAGGAATTGAGCCTTCCAAGCGTGTTTTGTTGCCTGCTTCCCTTGTTCGCCACCCTTGCAGGTTGCGGTGTATGTTATCTTGCATAGTTTAAAGCCCGCGCGCCGTGCGCTGCAGGTTTGACGTCGCCCGAGACAAGCGCACATGCGGCGCATGATTGATCTCAACGGAGACGCAGATAGCGGGGGAGACAACTCGGTATACAATGATTCCTTAACGTTGCCGCTGCACGCGGCAAAATACGGCGAGAAAATAGCACGGTATTTATCAACCCAAACAAACTTGCAACAAAGCAGGGCAAGGCAACCTGCAATTAACCATCTCCAGCCAGGGGGAAGTGCGCAGGCACGGTGGAACGAACAATGGACTGCAAGGAAGCTGCCCTTCCTGCCCAAGTGGAAATTCTTGTTATATGCATTGCTTTAACTGATCTTTACTTTACTTCTCAAATAATGTGCAAACTTTATATGCTGCATAAAGTCTGATTTTCCGAGAATTTCTCTTGAAACCAAAACCATGCGGGACTTGCTGAAATTAAGAGAGAAATTTTTTCAAAACAAATTCAAGGAATTAAAACGAAGAGAAATTTTTTCAAAACAAATTCAAGGAATTAAAACCTTCCTGAAAACGTAGAAATGAGAATCAAACGATATACGGTATTCCGTCGTTCGAGGATACGTTGCGTGTAAATTAGAATTCGGGTATAATGGATGTGCTAACATGGAGAGAGAGAGAGAGAGAGAGAGAGAGAGAGAGAGAGAGAGAGAGAGAGTGTGGAATTCTTTACGTTTGCTAGGTTGAAAAACAACCTTGACCCAGTATGAGCGCGTGTCCGATCGTCGTATCTGAAAATAGTAATTTTACGATCAGCTCGCTCTCGGGCGAACAATTCATTTTTGCACGTTTCAAACCGCAACCGGCACAATAGAAATGCATCGTTGCAACGCGCTGACGTAAGACAGTTCGGTCACAGATCTCATTGACTAAGGCACGTCTGTCGCGCTTCTCTCTTGCGCGATATGAGGCAACAGTTAATGGTTGGGAAAACCCGGCTTTTAAATAAACACGCGCGGTAAAATGACAGCTCGCGGTTGTACTTAATTGTACTTCCTCCAGTACGAACAATCGTGTTATCGTAATTTCAAATTTAGTGACAAAGTCATAAAATTTGTATAAGAAAATCTAATTATAAATCTCTGAGCAACGATGAGTGACGATTGCATCATAAATGACGCGCATTAAATAATCATACATCTGCAGCATTTATAATGCTCTAGCGTTTCGACACAGCTGAGCTGAAGGAGTTTGTAAATTTAATAGACGTTTAATTCTCAATTAGAATAGAAATGAAAATTTGTTTAATCACTGCATCTGCATATTAATTAAGCTCTTAAAAATAGTTACATCTATACAATATTATCGTTTATCGTAAGCTGAATTTTTTAGGCTAAATTAAAAATTAAATAAAAAAATTCTAAAATATATATAACGCAGAGTGGCGCAAATGAAACCGTTATGAAACCGCGAGGAGTACCTATTACTGAATTTACGCGTACGTTTTGAGTAGGGTGTTAAAGCACAACTAACGAAATACCTACGCCCGATTACACGGGCGCGTTATTTATGCGGCTCATCGCCGTGGCGCGGTGCTATAATAAATAATTTCGATAAAAGGGCTCCGTTTATCACACAAATTCAATGGCACAGCGCTTGCCCCGGCTCATGACCGCGGCACCAATTTGTTTCAATTAAAATCGTAATAGAATACATTATCACCCCTGCAGCCGGAGCATAAATTCTCCCATATAACCCGAGATACTAGAAAATATTTCTTTCGATTACGCGAGCGAGCTGCTTTTGTTTGTGCACGCTGCGAAAGTGCAGGCAAATATCGCTCTCGCGATTTTCGAGTTACCGGGCTGACGTTTATTGCCATTTTATTAACGGTAATTAAGCCGGAAAGTCAAGTATTCGTTATAGAACGGAGAATCCCCGAAATTAAGTGGAAACTTTTTGGGATGAAAATTAAAACGTTCGCGCCCGTTTACACGCGAGGAGGCGCGAGGTCTACAACGAGGAGACCCGCGCTCTGTAATCGCGCAGGCTCGGCTGAAATTTCCGCCAAGGGAAAGTCGGCTGGACGTGTTCGTCAAAGAATACGCTCCTGCTACTGATTTCCACCTTTTCTGGGCCACCCTGCGGAGGAATATCGAGACGGTGGAAGTCTCTGTTGGCGATCCGCATACCACAACCGCGCCGGATGATCGTACGGCGAGGTACGTACCGCGCACGCACACGTACATACACGCGTACACTCACGCACGCACGCACGCACGCACGCACACTCGTGGCGTGGCTTGTATAGGCCGGAGAAGGAACGAGACACTACAAAGTGGCATGCCACGGGAGTATGGACCTTGCGAGCGGTCAAAGTCGTGGCCTACTTCACTTCCTGGCTTCGAGAAACTTTCTCCTCGTGCCGCTCGTGCGTTCACGCGAGAACCGAGAGCGGCGGGGCTCTCTCGATCGGATATACCGTCGCGGTTCCCTACGCTCGTCGTATCTCCTCCAGGGTGGGCGAAATCCTAAAGACGAGCGTCTCGGCGATTTGTATTTCGCGTCACTCACGGCCAAACGGTGACCGTGCGATTCGTTGATTAAAGATAATTATCTAAGGAGATAGAGATGCGCATTTAATGCAGGATGGAAATAAATATTTTATGTACCTAAAAGTAAATTGATTCGTTAGTAGCGGTGAGATGAGCTCGAGATATAAACTCTCACCGTGTCGTATGCAATTAAATTACGCTTTACATTTTGTGGGTCAATTTATATCGTTCAGAAAAAAATGCATGTATGTATACTTATAATTAGTTCAGTTTTACTATTTTTTAGGAAGATATATCTTATTTATATGTGACAAAAATTTTAACGTGTTTAATGTAATATTTCGTGTCTATGTGTGGATGCTGTTAGTTTCGCTTTTATCATCCGTAATTGTTTTTCCATCGTCGATATTTTCAGCATTCTCACTTGTATAGAATCAGGAATCTCGTCCGCTTAACACAGAAGTTAACACAGAAATAAATTTGAGATCCAGTGAGATTTAACTTACGACATATGCGCTGAAATAGATATGCAATCTCGACTATTGTTTTTAGAAAATGGATCAAGCCGATACCTCTCCTAATTTAGTTTGGTCGAAATTAATCGGCCACCACGGCGATGTTATATTATCACTCGGAGGGAATCCGACACCCCGGCCCCGCCGCCGTTATCGACCCGCTGAAAACGGTCTCGTCCTGATTTTTGTTTAATCGGCCAACGTATACAAACTAAAAGTATTATTCGGAGCGTTCCATTGGCCGAGTATCCGCCGTGCATCCGAGTATGGGCCACGATCCATAAACCGTGTGTACGAAGCGTGCACAACCACTCGCTCGCCGCCGCCGCGTGCCCGGCTCGATAATCCGCGGGCGACCGGCTCTCTCGCGCGACCGGCAGTAAAAATATCCCTTGCGAGTTACCGGGCGAAACACCTGAAGGAATTGGTACCGCGCGGAGTCGTAAAGGTAACCTCTCCTCGGCTCTCTTGGCGCATTATCGGCCAATTGTCGAGGGGGACCGGCGGGCCCGACGAGTTTCACCGATTATCTCTCGCGCGCGCTGTAACCCTCTCGCGCGCGCGCTCACGTCGATATCGCGCGCGATATCGTCCCGATGTCCGATTCGATGCGTCCGTTAGCTCACCTCGGAAAATTACAGCCGACTGTCGACGGCCGACGGGTTTCGGGATCCCCGATTGTAACCCGTTCAGGGCCAGAGAACGCCGCCGATCGCTATGTTCTGATTGCTTGCGGGGAATCAGAGCGTCCTCTTCGTGATGGTCGGGCTGATTCGGATTTTGCAAGTCACCGCGATCTAGATGGTGTGTATATATATCAACAAAATGTCCCGGTAATTAGCCACCGCCGTATGAGATATCTATCACTGCACCGTTTGTCTCATTTCAGAAAAGTTTCGTGGTGCGCGAATTAACGCCTGATGGCGACTTTATGTACTCTGCCAGCTTACGATTCGTTTTGCCTAATTTGTTTATCGATCGTTCAGCAAAATTATTATACAGTTGTTTCGTCGCGGGAAACTTTTGCGTGCAGCTTTAGAATTAATGTTCGCTCACACAATCGCTCTGATAATGTAATAAAATAATATAATGTATAAATATATAGTGTAAACTAAAAGTATTGACAAAGATTAATCATATATAACGATGCAATTAAAAATTAATTAATTCTTGAGTTATAAATCTACGCGATTGACGAATGCGAAGGGCAAAATAAAAGATATAATTATCATTATGATCGCGTATTAGATGTAATGCGCACGGAGGGAATTTGCGAGCGAGCGATTATGGACCGCTCAAATTGATGGATACACGCAGGATAAAACGAATCTAACCGTCAGCGAGCGAGTATTCTGTTTGCGAACGGAACGGGTGAACGTCAATCGATTCAGGATGCACTTCGCAAAAGCTGTGGGAGTGCTAGATGCGATTCTCCCCGCATCAGTATCGATGCGGCTCGAATTCCATTGCGAGAAAAGCCAACTGCAATGCCATTGTTGGCGAATGTACTGGTTCGATCGTATTACGGAACTTATAGTAAGAGTGTAAAAAGAGAGGACTCTGCGGCACTTACAGCGGTTGGAAGGCCAATCGACAGAAATGAAATGGCACGAGAATTAAGTAACTGCGATTATAAGACGAAATAAGCGATAATATGTTGTGTAATTTCTCCAGAGGTCAGAAGTTTATTTATAATAAAAAAAAGTAAGGTAAACGTACCAGTGGCTGAACGTGTATCTATAGCTGAACAAGTGCATAAACATTTATTTTTAAATGATTTTTTTCATAATATTATAATTTAATTGTAATCTTTAAATATTTTTACAATTAAATTTTGATATTATAATAAAAAAAGTATTTGAGATTAATAAATTTTGCGTACGTGTTCAGATATAAATACATGTTCAGCCATTGGTACGTTTACCTTATCTTTTTTTTCATTAAAAGAATAAAATAAAATTTCATAAGAGAATAGAGAGATGCGCGACAAGGAAACAAATAAATTCAGCTTCTTTGCAATACTTTCGTTGCAATTGTAAAAGTTTTCAAGGGAACGAAACCGTCTGAGTGTTTCGTGTTTCAAACGACACGTTTCCTTGGCGATCGCAGCGGCGATGTGTAAGCGATGCGTAGAAAAAGAGATGTAGGACGCTTAAGTGCCTTTAATTTTTGCACCATATTGGCGATTCATAAGCTCGTTCCCGTATAATGATCGGGGGAAAACGCCGGTAATCATTGTAGTATAATGGCAGTCGTAACGGCGTAATGCTAAGAGTTTATCCGCCGTCACGGGAAGAATATAATTATCGCCGTAAGTTTCACTGGGTTGTAAAACTCACGGTAATGCGAGTAGAGATATCCTCGACTAGCGCCGACGGAGGGATCTTTCTTGAAATCTTGCGGAAAACGGCAAGAAAATTAGACCCGGGGTTGCCCGAAACGCAGAAACGTGTTTCTGAGATGAAGTAATTGTGCGTGACGTGTTCCCCCTGTCATTATAATGCTGTTCCATTGAATTTATGTACATATATACACTTTTGTGACCCTGAAATAAAATTGCGGAACATTATCGGCGCTGAGAGCGCGCTCTTGTTATTTATCCAGATATACCCGCATTTGACAAGAAGTCGTCTGTTACAGCGTGCGGTACGTAAAACGCGACTGCGATCGATTATTCGTGACATAAACGACAACGGCGAGAATTAATAGTCCACTTCCTCGAAGCGCGCTGCTCTGTAATAAGATGACGGCACAAGATGACTGCTTGGCAACTATTCCTTTGCGCCCGTAATCTGAAGAGCGGTAAGTATAACGCGACTGAAAAGGCAGAAGAATTTAATAATCCCGACGCAATCTTCACTCCGTTTCTCGGGTATTTCTTCTTATAAAGGAGCGAGCTCCACTTAACGTGTTCCTGAATGAAAGTCCGTCGACGGAGAAGAAGAAGAAGAAGAAGAAGGAAGCAGCCAGCGTATCGCGTCTGTTATCCTATTTACCTGTAGAATCTCGGACCAGATTCCGGATGCGGAGGATGCAGCCGGTGAAAGTGAGTCCAGGGACGTACGCCGGCCCGTTGTCGTCAACGGATTCGATCCGCTCCGAGGAGAGAAAAATCAGCGACGCGGCGCTTTTTGATCTTGCGAGAAAGGTAAGACAATTGGGCGACTGGGCGAGGCGTTTCGAACGCGAAAACGAGCAGCGAGCTCGTTGGAAACCGACGCCGGGCTTTGTAACGAAAATTACGAGCGCGGAGAAAATCTATTATTAAACATGTTATCGCGCACGGAATATCCTCGAGTGATTTGAAGTTTCTTGCGAGCAAGAACGTTGCACGGCTTATTGATTACATTAATGCATAGCGGCGTGACGTAAATTTCGATTACCGAAGGCCTGCTCGTCGCGGGACTTTCGAGAAGTAATTTCGTAACCGTAACTTTCATTGACGTCATTCTGTATCCGGACATCCGGCGGTCGCGTGTCGTCGCATGCGAGCGTCAAGACGTGCGAGAGGCGAAGCGATAAAAGTGAAAAGTGAAAGCAAGCGGGTATATAGCTCTGCTTATAGATATTGTCATGCGAAAGGCGGCATATGAAAATAGCAACGAATTATCTTCCCTTTCACTCGTTCATGCTCGGATTAAAAATATATACACCGAAAGTATTATGATGTGCCGCGCGTGTGTTTACACTGTCCATAAACGGGTTATTTAACCGATATATATACGATTTCTCTCCGCGATAAATACCCGGGGAGAGATTACGGTGTGTTTTTTGACCTGCGAAGGAGCGAGAAATAAAGGGCGCTTTGCTAATTAAGCCTGCGAAAGAATGGGACGGCCCGTAAAAGGATTAACTTCGTCTCGCAATAAATTCTGATGAGAACCGACACGACCTGGATTTAAATCTTGTTTTTTTTTTTTTACCGCCGATCTTTACAAAACGGGAAGTGGGTGATGTGCAGGGAATGCGAGACAAACTATGTATTCACCGGGTAATAAGAACGGGGGCTGCTGCGACAGTGAATCATTGTCACGCAAATGCGTGACGGTAGGCGGCCGGCCGGGCGGTCGGTACAGAAAATTGACGCGCGTGGGTGGTGAAAGTGAGCGTGTCGACTGGCTTAACGACGTCGTCATCGTGCCGATAGAGCGCTTTTTAGTGACGTCAATGTAATCCGGAATGGTAATCGGGCCGATTCATTGAATCGTTTTTCCATCGCGCATCGCTGACCGATGAATAACGCGAAGCGTTCCTTCGAGAGAAAGTGTGCGGTTTTTAGTCCACGCGGCGAACTAGTTCGACGATTGAACAATTGACGATGACGATTTAACTTTCCACGAGATTTTTTGATCGGGCTGTCAGTTAATGTATCCATATAGTCGCGCCTATTTTCTGTAAGCTATTCTATATATTATCTCTTTTAAGCTGTGAAGCTATAAAGTCTCGTCCGTCGATACGAGTAGAAGTCAATTAAGAGAGTTCATCTGGAATCACTCGGAAGTTGCTACGAAAAAAAAAAAAGAGAAATCGATTACAATCGAAAATATCGATCGTATACCAGGCTTTCCGTTACTTTGAAATTAAATCGGGTTCCGCGAGTCATTACGGAAAGAAAGGGGTTTTCGATTAATACGGATTAACGGGATGACACGACGAAACGCGGCGGTATTGTGCAACCTGCGAGAATTACAATTCACGACGCGATAAGAGTGCTTCTAACATTTCACCGGCGAGCCGTGAGATGCATACGCGCCAGGCAGGCATAGATACCTACTTTGCTAAATACCATCCTGCGCCGTGGATTCGCGGGGCTGAGCGACGGTCTGGGTTCACTAATCCCGGGTTAGGGGCTCTCGCTATCCCTTTTTAAATTACAGACCTACATGCAGCACGTCTCCCGGAGAGAGGAGAGCGAGAGAGAGAGAGAGACGGAGAAAATTTAGTTAAACGGCGCTAGAGCGATACCAGCGCATCCGGTCCTCAGTCACATTACCGCGTGACTGCTGCGTGAAGTGGTACCATTCCGCGGGATGGCTAATTTTAGTGAAAAGTAGTTTAAACCGAAACGAAAGAGAGCCAGCTGCTCTCGCGCGCGAGTCTCCACGTAGCCTCCGCTATTTTACGAGACGACGTCCACTTCTTTCGGCATATACTTTTTCGTACTATCGCGCTATAAAAGCGCGCAAGTAAAGCCGGTTTATTTTACGACCGGCCGAGACGGGACCGTCTATGTGTGTTTTTCGGTTATAATATCGTATCGCGAGTACGATTTGGGGCAAGATTAAATTTTTATGGTAGGTGTCCCAGGGTGGTAAAGTGACTGACGGGGCGTCATAATAAATGCCTCCCGGATTACCATGTTTCCATATTTATGAGCCGCTTTTTTTTTTTGACAACTGCTAGGACGTAGCTAATTGGATGTAATTTTTTTGACACGGCGATCCGCGCGCGGGCACCGCGCGGACTTGCTCGGGGGCAAATTTTTGCGCGGGGTCTCCTCTACTTTCGCGATCATTTCGCGTTTGCACGTTATACCCACCTGCGTACGGAACGCGCAGCGGCGCGAATACCGACAGGTATACGAGACTACTTTCTACTACACCGCGTCGCGCGAAGAGAAGCCTGTAGCGCGATGTATACGATCGCGCCGTCAAGGGATTTGATGTATATCACAATTTACATACGACACGCGCGTACGTATGCGTGAGATAGACGCGCGTGTATAAGCGTGCATGTGCACGTCAGGTATTACAACGTTAAGCTTCCCATCGCCGGCCGATTAGCATATAGACACACTGACACACTAAGATCCCGAATCTACGGATCGCCCTAGAAATCGTGATCCTCCTCCGAATCATGAATATTAGAAATTAAAAATGAACCTGTTCAACTGACTGTCGATGACAGAGTCTTATTAGCATTTCTTCGCGGCTTCCATTAAACATTCAATTCATTAAACAGAGAGAACGAGAATTTTTGTTTACGTACGTATAACCGCAGGTCGCAACAGATAAAACCGATTAAAACATTTAAAACGCTCTTAAGAAGAAATTAAAAACTTCCGCAGCTTGTACTCGAATCTACGAAAATCTTGGCGTGTCTCCGACCCTTTTATTACCCTTTTCGTAAAGTTTGTTAAAAAATTAAATTTAAAATTAAAAAATTAAAATTAAAATTAAATTTAGATTTAAAATTAAAATTAAAATTAAAAATTAAAAATTGTTAATTTTAAAAATCTTATAAATTTTCCGACTCTTAATAAAAAAAACTTTTACGTGACCCTTCACGAAGTTGCACAGTTTGTGCACGGAAAGAACGATTTTGTTAAAAGGTCTAAAAATTTTGCTGAAAATAGATCTAAAAATAATTTTTTATTAAATCATCAAAATAATTTGTTGGAATGTTAAAACTGATAAGTATCACTGTAAAACGTTTTGATTCTAGCAATCATTTTCACTTTTGCACAAAATAATTTTGATTATTGAACAAAAATTATTTTCAGATCAGGATTCAGCAAAATTGTTCTTTCAGTGTGCGCTATTGTTATATTTGATTAAAATTTTGCCTGCCCGGCAAAATCGTCGTGATTCTGTTTCGACGATTTTTCCCACGCTCTATTTTCGTTCGACGATGGGTGGAGTAAAGTGCGTCGAGGCTGCACATATACGCGCGTTTTGCCGCGCGGCAATCCCGTGAAGCCGTAACGCGTCCTAAGCGTAAACGTCACACGGCGAACGCGACGAAGATTTATCCCGCACTCACCGTAATTACCGGCCCGGCACTTTTCGTCAAGGTTTGGCGAATGCACTCTACGCCGCGTGTTCCTGTTCCCTCGCGTCGCGCCCGGGCGGTGAAACGACGGAAGAAAGTCAGCGGATTCAGTGACCCAAAATTACGGGCGCGTATAGGTAGACACCGAATCGGCAACACGCTCCGCGGCGCCTGTAATAAACGCCCACGGAGCGATTGTCTTCGGGGAAAATCGCCGAGAGATCTCCTCTCGGCACGCGGATAATCGGCCGTGACCAGATGCACGTTACCGGATCGTCCATGTGTGTACCTACTTCGCGAATGATCTCTCTTTCTCTTTTCTCTCTCTCTCTCTCTCTCTCTCTGCTCGTCTTGCTACACGGAGAATCCGAAAACATTCGCCGAAGCGTGTATACCTCTCCCACACGGGGGAGATACTTATCGATTTTATTAGCACGCGATATCGCGCGAGAGCGATGCCGGATGAGCCGTCGCTTATCTTTTTATATCTTTATACTCGGCAATTAATAATCATTTATTTTGTCAACGTCATTTTGTTGCCGGTTCGGTACAAGATCCCGAGGATGGAACTTCCGCGTCTTGCTGCACGCAATAAACTTTACGCGGGATTCGGGCACGAGCTGTAAAGCGGGAAAATTTCTAATTTGTTTTTAAGAGCCTTTTAATCGATCTCTCTATCTCTCAAGTGGTGGTGTCGCCGTCGTCACGACCTTGAGAGCTCAACACCGTGAAACTCTCAGCGTACCACTTTTTTGATACGAGAGATTTCTAGATGAGCCACGTGATCGCATCACATATACCGATATATATAAATGTGGGTTAATCCGTTTTTGCACAATACCTGAATGTGCGATGATTAATATCGCAACTGCGGCGTTTTTGTCCGCCGCGAAGCCGCGATTCGTTTCGAGCCGTGAATCGCCGCGGTGCGCGTTACGCGTACGCGCTTTGAAGAACGCGTCGCGGCGCGATGCGAGTGGTCAGCGCCGCGGTTTGCGCGATGTTAATCTCATGGGCGCGGTGGACGCGAGGAGGAGGTCCCACAGCCTCGCGATCGGAAAGTGTGTCACGACTAAATCTTCCGTTCGACTTAGCCGGGGCGCGCTGATCGGAGCGGCAACGCGATCGAAACCGACATGGTCCCATCCTTTCGACACGCCGTCGAAATTCCTATGTACGTTTCGGCGCTACCGGACGAGAAATCGGTCAGACCCGCGGGGCTGTGTGCATACCTCCGCGCACTCTACACCCGTGGCGCCTCGAGAAGCGAAGCGTCTATCTACTCACGCGTTTATTATACCAATTTCGCCGAGCGACGAGCGAAGGATTTCCTCAATTTCCGGCGATCGCGCTGATGAAGCTGCATGCCGCGAGAAC